AGGAGCCCACTCATTCACAAAAATCTAAGCAAACTTTCGCGCTATCTTGATTACAGATTCTTTATCTTATAACTCCCATAACAATTTATGGATTTATTCAGAATAATACATTTTTTTGGTAGTTGTCGTACTAAAAAAATAGTTTTTATACATTAATCCCTAAATTAAAAATACCACTAATTAACAAATATAACATTAATCAATGTCTGAATTATTCGAAGTTTGAAAAAAAAAAAAAAAAACTGGGATGCGAATTTCACAGAACCGTTACATATACTGCACACTGTGGTGTGAGGCATCCATGAGAGTCACTTAAATAACACACTGGGGTGTGGAATACCCCATAATGACTTTCGATAACTTCCAATAATGATACAAGCCCAACAATGGAGAACTAATGTAACCGTAATTAGCCGTTATTTACATTAAAAAACATGCCAAAGAGCTATTTATATAAAAGTATATTAAAATTTAAAATGTTGTGGGGTGTGTCACCGTGTCGTTAACACTTTGTTAACTGGAATATCAGGATACTTTCATAGATATCATTCTATGCGAAAATAATTGTGTGAATGATATGTTATCGCTTCCGCCTTTGGCACATTACGAAGGTTTTGTTCTGATGAAACTTAGGGAAAGTTTAATTGGAAAATTCCAAAGAATCCTCGAGTTCCTAATTGTTTTAATAACTAACATAAGTATAAAATTAAGGCTCATGCATAATGAACTTGTTTAGGTGATTTTGTTCATAAGAAACATTTTGAAAAATTGCGCATTATATCTATGGCATTTACAAATTTTCATTTAGTTAATATTTTTAATATAGATATAATGAGAAACAAAAGTTTTAATGAAAATTGAAATTGCTTGGTTAGCCAGAGGCCTGCCCTATCAGAATCATGGAGAACGCGATCAACAGCAGCAATCTAAGCATTTGAGACCACATATCGTCGGGATAGATTGAGTCATGTGTATATGAGCCTTGTTATGGTCCTATGTTTTACTTTCGGTTTCTATATTTTAATTCAATTTAAATTAGGTTTCTAGAAATCTGATAACTTTCTTTAAGTTAGAGTTAGAGTTATAATCAATATTAAAGAACTAATCGTTGACGTTTTATGGTTGGTATTTCTCTTCTTATCTACAATATAAAAAGAAAATATGTGAGTAGAAGGCCTATTAGTAACCAGAGATAAGGCTTCCTTCGCAATGAGTCACTTCTATTCTGACAGGGTTATCTGCTTCTGATAACAGCATTGAACAGGAGTGTTTCTATTACTAATGCACTTGATGGAAAGTTTCAGTCCTTGATATACCTGCCATAAGTAAACAATTACCGATTATCAATGATACTGGTTTTCGCTTTCTTCTGCCTCCTGAGGTCAGATAACGACAGGAAACCACATCTTACAGAGTATGATAATGTTAACTTAAAGATACCTAAACATCTAAGGAAAATTTTTTATTGCATCACAGCATTCTCATTTGTAAATATATTTCTTATAACCATGTTATATTCTTTCGTTATATTTTATAGTTTCCCCCATTTTCTTATTGCAATATCATTATTTTTTGTCATAAAAATTTGTGAACTAAAATACGGTATTACCAATGCCTTTAAGGTATTATTTGAATGCTAAATTCTTTACTAAACGTACTACACGATCATTTTATATCGGACTTGAAGTTTATGTACGTATAAAATTGTTTTGAATGATTTGAACAATTTCAAATATTCTGCATTTCAATGAAGAATTTTAGGTTTAAAAAATAATATCTCCACTAATACTTTAAAAGTAATATATTGGTTTACCAATTTTTAATATAAAAAATATGGATATTGAAATTATAAAAATGCCCGATCATAATATTTTGAATAAAGAATTGAGAAAGAATAAAACATTATTATAAGAAATATATTTATGGTACATTGGAGAATGCAGTGATGACATACAAATGTTTCGTAAGATGTTTTTACATATTTCTAAGATGGCATTAGCATGGTCTGTATTACATGATTGTCATTATCAATTATCTACATTGCCATATATATATATATATATATATATATATATATATATATATATATATATATATATATATATATATATATATATGATGCATATATATATATACATATATATATATATAATCATACCTTACAGACTCTATAATAGACAATTGAGAATAGCAATCATCTTTCAATAAGCATCTAGAACGTGCTAGAAGATGTTTAGAGTTCGAGTAATATAAGCATATGTGTATATACACATACATACATACCTTCTACTGAAAAAAAATCTGATCAGTTGACATCAGTGGTCTAACCCAGTTAACAATCTAAAAAAGAGGTAGACCTGTGGATTGAAATAAGTAGGTCGTCGGAACCATTGTTAACAAAAGTGAAACGCTAAATCATCAAGCAAGGCCCTAGAGTTGCGAATTCTGTTGACCTCAACCAATAAATCAGGATTTCAATCCGAACAAGCCCGGACAAAATTCTTCGGTAATGTTTAAATCGGTATTGTTTAAATGGGTAAACTGTACATGTTTTTACAAGTATGGTATTACACTTTCTATTTCCTGTTTTTTCTTTCTGTTCAAAAGTTAGAATACTTATTAGAAATAATAAGTGAATCGATGTATCATTATAAATAAATCGCCATCCCTATGTTTAAAATTGATCAAATCGAAGTTATCTACTTTTTATAATGTATTTGACTTTATTAATAGTAATATTATTTATTACTATCTGAGATGATCAGAGGGTGTGGCATGAGACGTCCGCATCATGTTAGGAGTTAGGAACTGGATGGCGTCAGCATAATATCGTGACGATTGGAGAAAATGGTTAGAGGAGGCCAAGACGTGTAACCGAAAAAAAAAAATTAATTGTCCCATAGAAATAAACCATACCAAACGCGGTTGCAGATAATTCTGGGAATGCACTAGACGTACCACCGTTCGCTCTTCCTCGGGCTGAAGATCCCCAAAATGGTATAATATATCCATGTTTTATGAAAAAAATTATCTTTAAAAGTTGATTGTTCATCTAATTACATATAATAGGTCTTTCGGACTTAAGACCTCCAAAATAGTAGAATATAACCATGTTTTATGAAAAAAATTATCTAAAGTATTTTCATCTAATTACATATAATAGACTTTCGGCTAAGACCCAAATGTAAATATACAATGTTTATAAAATATATATCTAAAAGTTTATTCTATATATACATATAATTAGCTGAAGCCTCCACCCAAATTAATCCTGATCGTTATGTATATATATGTGAAAAGAAATGCATATATTTTTTGTTTTTGTTTCATTTAGTATTTTTTCCATAAAATGGCGGCAATATTCCATTACTGGATAATTGACGTCTACAAATCGAAAACACGGCATTTTTTCATAATTTTTTTTACAAATTTAAATAAAAATATTTTCCAATGTATTAAAGCAATCTATCAACTACTTTCAGCTACAATCTTCAAATATTTCGCCAATGTATTTTTAGTGTAAATATTCAATTTTTTAAAATGATTCTTAAATTTTAGGTACAAAGTATAAATTAAAATGAATTGTTCAATACAATTCCCATTTAAATTAAAATAATAATAATAAAAATGACGGTTGTTTAGTTACTTTTTCAAGATACATTTTTTCTGACTTTCTAAGGGAATATTTTTTATTAATAAAGAAATATTCATTTATGACCTCTATGAACTCAGTAATAGAGTTTGTACAATAGTTACTCTACTTTTTGTAAGTGAGAGAATTACAAACCATAGCTCTTATGCACCATACAAATTTAGTGACCAGCAAAAGTTTTCGTATTCATTGGTCGAATAATATCAAATATTATAATTATAAAAAAAAATCAATAAAAACAATTCACTACTATAATTTTTTTTATTTAAACGTTTAATTATAACTTCAATACCACTTTTATTAATTTTATCAAAAATATTTGCGTAATTGGATACATATATTTTAAATAACATTTTAATTATAAAATAAGAATTTTAATGCAGCAAAAGTTTTCATACTCAGCAAATTATATTATGTTATATTTTATGTGTTTATTTTAGTCAAAGGTTTTTAATTAATGTCTTAAATGAAATACTTTGTATTTTTGTACCAATTTAATTCATTTGTGGACAACTTTGAAGTCAATTGGAAGGGTATTTTCTCCTGTTATTCCAACAATTTAGTTTCAAAATAAATTAGTGATGTTAAAGTTTCATTTATGAACTATATATCGAAACGAACCCATAACTGTAGGATAGGATTGCTCTCTGAAGAAGATTTTCATGTTCATTTCAATAATTATATGATAGCGATTTTCTTGTGTGGAGAGCTTGGCACTAAGAGTTAATATCCTGGTAAAATGTTAATGTTTGCTCTGTACCCGCTTTTGCCATTACATACCCTTTAAGTTCCTTTTTATACTTTTTAAATTTATAATTCCCCATTATTTCATCGATAAAACTAAAAATCGATAAAAATTCTCGACTCCATGTAAATAAAGATTTCAGACTCACATTTGATACATTCTGAGTTTGAGTCTATGTTGTTTTAATATTCCCCGGATCATATTTGGTCCAGTTTGTTTTCGCAATTCTTCTCATTTATTAATGGTGTTATTTTCATAAACTATATTTTATGACTTGATGATTTTGATTTCACTATTTCTAAAATGAAATGTCCTATTCTATTAGTTATTATTATTATTAAATCAGTAGAAAATCATAATTACCACTTAGTTTTCTAAGTATATGAATTAAGTATTTTTTATTTTATGATATTTATCATTATAACTCAGTTCTTTTTTATATCAAAGCCTCTATGCAGTAACTTCAATCCTTTTTGGTTTAAAATATTCACCATTTAGGCCAAATCCTATTCAAAATTAAGCTATTCCATATTTATTTACAATTTTTGCTAAAACTCTAAATTTATTAAATTGTAATCATATTTGTTTTCTTACCATTTTCAGAAATGTCAGCTGCTCCTCTTAGCCCATCCTTGAAGGATCTGCCAAAAGTAGCTGTAGATCTCAAGTCACAGTTAGAAGGTTTTAATCATGACAACATGAAAAGAGCATCTACAACTGAGAAGAATGTTTTACCAACTGCTGAAGGTAAGAAATTTTGTAGTTAATTTCTAAAATGCTGTAGTATTATGTATATATGTAATTTCTAAAAATATGTTTCTGATTTGTTAATACCTTATAAAAAGTACAAATGCATAATTAAGGATTAGTTATATTATCATGAGTTTTATAGACAAACTAAATTTAAAGTTTATTTGGTATACCAAACATTCTTATGTACTGAAATCGTATGGAGTATCATAAATTTTGTTCTTAGTTAAGTAACAAAACTATTATCGACCTTCTTTGCCTTGATAGAATAGACTAGTTACCTAAAGGAAACTTACATTTCATATCTCGATCTTACCTTTGGTTTTTGTTCCAAATAAGCAATAAAATTGTAAGTACATAAATAAAAAGCCTGAAAATTTTACTGCAAAAGCACTTCAGCCTATCACAACTTATATACATTATTACCTTTTAAAATGTCTTTTGCACACGTCCAAGTGATAAGATAAATTGTTTACTTCAACAATATATAATTCACATATTTACCAGTGTCCTCTTTGCATCAATATAATATTGTTTATTAGTCAGAACTATAATTTTATGATGGTTTTGAAAGAGAAACACCTACTCTGATATTGAGATTTTGATTAAGTACATTATTTTTTGTTAAATTAACATTTCATGGCTGATACAGATGTTCAACAGGAGAAACAACATATTGAATTGATTCACGGGGTTGAAACTTTTAAGCAGGACAGATTGAAACGTACCAATACAACCGAGAAAATCATCTTGCCAAATGCTCAAGGTAGTCGATCTGGGTTCTGTTTTGGCTGAGGGAACAAAATAACCTACTTTTGAAATAGTTTAATACAATTAACTATTTTTGTACTAATAAATATACATTATAACGTATTTGTTTTATCTATCTGTCATTTTATATTAATATATTAAGATTAGATGCAATTGTCATTATGTATATTGCCGTTATAAGTTCATTCTCAAAATAAATCTCTGCTGTTCCGTCCTTGTAATCAATTGTAGAGTATATTCACAAGTTTTTATTGCTTTTGATATTTAATAATTTTTAATCCACAAAAATGAAGTCTTCTCAGGAATGTCACAGTTGAACTAATTATAATTTTTTGCAATGCGTTTTATAAAAATTAAATTAATAATGTTTAATTAGCTCTTATAAACTAGGATATACCTGAATAGGACCTCTGATTTCAGATATCTTTTTGAATTATCTCATTTAACATTGATATCTCAGCAATGTCACACATTGCTGTCTCCTTCTTTAGTAAAAATGTTCAAATAATGCTGGAACAAATATAATATTATATTATATGTAGATGATATTTTATGATTACAAATGATCATCAAATAAATCAAAAAGATTTCAATCAGAATTTTTCTGAGAAACTTTTATGAAATTTATAAACTTATGGATATGAAATATTAAAATATTTAAATAAAATATATTATTTTTGCACTCACACTTCTTTTAAAACACGTTTTTATCACTAGAAGGGAAGATCAGAGCTATCCATCTAAAGACATTTTAGACCAAAATTTCATTATGTCTGACTCACATCTAAAATAAGCATTCGATTTGAGCCCAATTAAAAGAGAAAAAAAAAATCAACTGGTGAAAAATAAAATCATCAATTAAAAGAGTTACAATAAGTCCTTCCTAAAGGTACTAGGTATGTAAATTGTTTTATATGGATTTTTCAAACACATCTATATGTGATGAAATCTTGTAATAAACTCTGATTCCATATATCTTCATATTTTATATTCAGAGGTGATGGAAACTGACCAAGAATTTGGAAAATGTTAAGAAATGGTATATTTTTATTTCACCTATATGTAATATATAGTTTGGAAAAGTATTGCGATTGTGAAAACTTTTGATTACGAGTTTTCAGCTGAAATACAATTTTGAGGTCCACTGTGTCCAACTTTCTCTTCCCTCATCCACAAGTACCGCAAAATGGTCTTTGTGGATGAACAGCCTAGCTCAAAAACAAAAAATTGTATGAAACTGAAATTTTTTATTTAAGGTTTTTATATGGCTGGGATGTTACGGCAACATTTTCATCCAAATCAGCTCACCGGATGCCACTTTGTATCAGCAATTTTAAACTATATATTTTTTTTCTCGAAAACGGCAATAATTTTGATTAAATTCATCACATCAGTGTAAAATCAAATTTATTTTAATATAATGTAGGCCTTATTCTCATTGGTGTTCTTTAAAAGGTAATAATTCCTGATTTTCCAAATTTCTACCTCTAAAGTATCTTTAATTTTGTTTTAATTCAAATAATTAACCATTTCTTTTTGTAACCTGATCATAAAAATGGTTAAATATAAAATAAGAAAAAATTCGATATTCAACTAAATGAGAAGTAACTTATTATAATAATAGAGAACCGGAAAAACCCTAACACGTGCCCGAGCTTCCCCAAAAGGTTAGAGTAGGCTTCCATACATAACACATATTTAACATAATGCGGGCTGGAATAATATTCTATACATATGCAAGTGCGGTTTTGATAAATGCTGGATTGATGTTTTCATTGATATTATTTAATTGTATAGATTACAGCAATCAAAAATTTATAATTTATATATATATATATATATATATATATATATATATATATATATGTATATACCAATGCTTAAACAAATAAAAATATCTGCAATGAGATATATATAAATATAGCAGCCTTCATTATCAGTAGCACTTAATTATTTATTATAATCAAATAAACAATTAAAATATTATATACAATCGTTAAAGGCAATGGTTAGCTGAAACCAAATAAAGGTATAATACATTAGACAGCTGTGAAAAATATATGATAATTGATTGTTTCTAAAAGTATTTTGTACTGTCTGTGAGTTTTACTTCCTCTTCCCTTTTTCTGAAAATACCTATTTCTGCTTAAATTAGGGTGGTAAGTGGAAGTTGTGTGATACACGCACCGCACCACTTTTTTTTTAAATTCATTGAAAATGATGAGGATATATTCTCAGCAACTAGCAAGAATATTAATATCTTCATAACCCTACATTCTGTAGTAGAGAACCCCATAAATACAGAAGAAATGAAAGTAAATACTTGGTTCCTGAAGTTAGAATAGAAATTCCTCCTGCTTTTGACAATGAAGAAATATTAAATAATAGCTGTGACATTCATGAGATTTTCAATACTTATAAACTAGTAGATGTCTCTTATACTATTAATCTGGAAAAAAAAACTAAATAAAAGCCTTATGAGTGAAATTTGTTATAATATCAAAGCACACTTCTTTTCCACAGAAATGTGCATCTTAATCTACAATATTAATTAAGCGACTATGAAATACATGAGATTTATTCCTTTAAATTGTTATAAGTAGGCCACTAAAATAAATATTTTTCTATCGTGTTTACTCAGTCCCTTTAAATTTGTTTTAAAGACAAATCAAAAAAATTTATCAGATATTTTATAATTTTGTTCAGTCAACTCCTATGAGCTTTTGAAACTATAGGACCTCAAATTTTCACTTTTTTTTTTTTAAATTATCCATGAACACTTGCTTTATATATAGATGATTGTAAATTATAAAGTTTCATAGTTTATTATTAATAAAATTTATGAATTAATGAAATCACAATTATTTAATTATACATTCATTTTATTTTATTTTTCAACTCAAAATAAAGATTTATAAATTTTGATTCCCTTTAAAAGTACTATTCCAACCTGAATTCTTTATTAGATGAGGTTTGTCAGTTGATTGACTTAATTTCTTACCAGTTACAAAGGCATCCTTAATAAATTAATTAAATAACTACTTATTGTAGATGTTGATTATTTCTTTATAAACTATATAGAATATTTTTGAACTAGCTACTAACTTTGAATGCTGACTTATTTTGATTAAAACATTGTGTTCATGAATGGGTTTTTGTTAATCTTTAAAATATGTTTAATATTTTATCATTATTAAGTGGTTAAATGATTGCTACTTACTAATAAATTAATATCTAACATTGATCTTTTTAATTAACATAACATTATATTTATTATTGTTATATTGGATATAAAATATTTCGTAAGTTAATGGCATACCATAAAAGTAGCAAATTTGATCACCAAATACTTCTCATATATTTTATTTCTCTAATTTCAAATTAAAAAAATATATATAAATAATTGAACCTTTCAGTTGACAGAATGACTCCCATTTCAACATTTTTGAGTAAAGTGAGTTCTGTGATATTTCTGTTTGGCAAATTTATAATATCTGTACAGACAGTGAGTAAATTGGTTCTATAGTAGGTGGTTGCTGTGTTGAAATATGGAAATATAAATAAAGGTATAAATTTTCCAACTAGAAATATTATTAAAATTAATAATAAAAAATGTTGGAATTGGAGTTAGTCATTGTGTCAACTGAAAGGCTCAGTTCTTTAGGTAAATTATTTTCTGTAGATAATGATATTTATATACATTTGCGGTCAAAAGTATTCGTGCTCCAGATTTTATACAATTATAAAAATATATTTTAATAAAAAAACAAAATAAAAATATAGATATACCATCCTTTCTTCTATCTAGGTATTAAATACGAGCTCGTTTATTTTGAAGATCATTTATTTAAATAATATACTCACAATAAATTTATTTTGTTCATTTTTCCTGTGTTTGGTGTCTTGGGGTTTTCATTTTCCATAAATTAAAGGCAATGTTCCATCAATATTTTATTTCTTTTATATTATCATTTTCACAATGCCCTGCATTTGAGCCATTTTCAAGTCTGGAAATTTTGTTATTAGAATACAATTTAATTTTTTAAAATTAAAACATTAATTTTCCTGTGCATAACTTTTTAATCTACTGATTTTTTACATTTGTGCTTTGTGGCAATAATTATACTTATATAAAATATCCTATCATGTACATAACTTCTCCACATTTATATGAATTTCTTTATTACATTAATTCAGTCCTCTAAGTATCCGTATTCCAATATTCTTTTTCTTAAGAAGATTTAAATGATTCTATTATTTAAGGATTTCCCCTTCGTCATCTATGGAGGGACTGACTAAGATCATCATGGTGAGGACGGTAAAAAGAGAGGGGTTTTACTTTATTATTTTGTATTGGTTTATTATTTTATCTAAATTTTGGTTTAAAATTTGTTTTTTATTTCGTTATGTATGTACACAGTTGGGGTTAAAAGTATTTGTACTCCAGATTTTATAAAATAATAAAAAATATAATTTAATAAAAAAAAAATGCTGTATAAAAAGCATCCTTTCTTCCATCGAGATATTGAATATGAGCTGATATAACTTGAAAGTCATCTATTTAACAAACTTACTAAATGATAAAGTAATTCACAAATTCCATTGTTTCATATTAAGGAGTTTTTTAGTTTTCATGTTTGCTTAAACAGTAACTTATTTTAAGACCAGTTTTTTCTGAAGCTCAAATTTACTTTATATATAAAAAATCATCAAACAATGAAAATGAAAAGATTTTTTTTTCTTAGTTGTGAATTTGAACACTTAAGATCCAGTTCATAACTTCATACTGTAGTGTTAAACTATGAAACACTTGATCAGAGTGTTATGTAATGGAAGATGTCTATGTCATGTTTCTCTGTACCTTTCATTATTTTTTGTTAAATTTGCTTAAAGAACTCATGTTTTAAATTTTTTATTTTATTTTAGATGTAGCTACGGAAAAAACACAAAAGGCTTTACTTGAAGGTGTCGAAGGATTTGATACAGGCAAACTAAAGCACACTGAAACACATGAAAAGAATCCTCTTCCTGATAAGGATGGTAAGATTTTGTAATTATCTTTTGTAGATTGATGTGTTGTGCTGTATTATTGTTGGCTACTTGCATAAATTGATTTTTGAAACATTTGTAAACATTTTTTGTTCTTTGAGGTTTTTAGTTATACAACTTTTTTTTCCCCCTTTTTTTAAAATAAAATTTTCTTATAAAATAAATTCAGTTTTAATATTGAACATATATAAGACCTTTGAAATATACAAATTTAGTTACTTGAGCTAACTTGTATATGTTTTCATATTGGTCTTTATAGATATTTTCTATTATTTTTAATTTGAAATCTAAACTTTTTTTTTTTGCATTTTGCATATTTCCAGCCATATGCTAGTTAGAAAATCTATGGCTTTGAAATGAAAGCAGTAATTCTCTTTTAATCTTAATGATGCTTACATATTGCATGTAAATAGTAGTGCATCACATTATTGACTTTAAATCTTAATATATTCGTCCATGCCTGCTTTAAATTTTATTTATTCTCCTCCCTACTAAAATTGTTTTATAAAATATTTTACTTAATTACTTCTATTATGAACGTTTAAGCTTAATACATAAAATCCTAATAAGTATGCTCTCTTCAAATTCCTTGAGTTAGTAGCATCTGAAAACATTATGAGGGATCAGTTTTAACATTGTAGCTGACAGTCCTTAATATTACATTAGCAGTAGCAAGAATGCATTAAATGTCTATTATTCCATCCTCGTTAGCAAGCAAATTGCTTAGAATGAAAATGGAACAACTTGCATAGAGCCAATCTATTATTTATAGTTTTCATTGTTAATTTAATTATTTTTTAAATCATTCTCTTAAATTATTATTATTATATTATAATTATATCATTTGTTCTGATCCAAAAAAAAAGTAAAAGTTAAATCCAATTAATTTTTATTTGAGCCCTTGATTTCTGTCAAAGAATTAACAGTAAAAAATTTGTAACAAAGATGCATAAAACAAAATTGATTATGAACATTACCCCTTTTGGAGTGTCCTGTACAACTTGATAGAAGTCCCTACCAGTGGGAGATGGGTGGGAGAATGGAGAGCAGTTTGAAGGTCATTTTTTTTAGTTTTACATGGATATCTTGGAAACTATCAACTTTAGGAAGGGGTACTTTATATTCAAAATTAAAGTGCATATTCAGTTGATTGTTGCCAATGGCTATCCCACTCTTTGATGGAATTGGTTAGTATTTTTTAACATAAGTAGAAGAGGCTAAACTACGTTCATAAAGAATTTGATTATCACAAGCAGCTGTCTTTGCCATTATATCAGCTGTTTCATTCTGTGAACACCATTGTATCATTTTACTCAAAGCAAATTAATTTTAATGCCTAGCTTTATTAGTTTGATGAAATTGTATCCAGTTTTACTGTTTACAATATAATATAAACATATCCTTTATTGTATTGGCTATTGAATAGATGAATATAAAATAAACATAGACTTTACTATAATATAATATAATGTTATTACAACAATTCTGGTATACTTCAATATTAAATACTGAAACTATAAACATTTTAAATATTGATTGTCTTTTTTAACATTTAAATTATACGCTCAAAAGAAAAAAATCACTGTATTTATGTATTAAAAATTAAATATCTACATTTTAGACCAAAAACTTTAAATATAAAAAAATATCCTTTTAATTCTGTCTCATTTTATTTTATAATCACAAGGAGCTTTCGGTGCTGAATTTTTAACTTAAATCTCATAAACAAATATTTTTTAGTAGATATGTAAATGTAGAGGCAACTTTATATCAACTTGAAACTTGACAATAAAAAATATATAAGTAAATAAAATGTTTTCGTGATTTACGCTATATATTATTCATTAAGAAAAAGTACTGCAATCATGAACATTTTTTCAAAAATATTTATAACGATTTTGACTTAACTTAGTATATTAATGTGATATTAAGTATCCTATCAGGTTATCAGGTTCTTATCATCCATATTAAAGTAGTCTGACAGGACTTAAATGCTAAATTTTCAAAATTTCTCCCTCTAAAGCACCTTTAATTTTGTTTATTTCAAATGAATATATGTAATTTATTGATGATAGTGCTAGAAAATGGATAAATATAAACTATAAAGGAATTTGGTAACTAACTAAAAGGAAAAGAAAGAAGAAATATTTTCCATTTTACAGTTAAATTTATATTATTTAAGTTTTTAATTAAAAAAAAAAAAAATTATTTTTACTGAAAGTAGGATGGTAAGTGAAAGTTGTATGATGCTCTGCACCAGATTTTTATTTATTTAGAATCATTTAGCATGGTCTATTAATGTTATATGTTATGCTATGCTTTAAACTATTAATTTGTTGAAAGTTATTGCATGATTATTATGCATGTGCCTTGTTTGGCTTGCAGCTGTGATGCAGGAAAAAGTTCATCAAAATCTTATATCTGGCGTGGAAGGATTTGATAAAGCTCGCATGAAACATACCACCACTCAAGAGAAGAATGTCTTACCTGACCCTGAAGGTTTGACTTACACAAATTTTTTTGCCTATAAGAATCAGAGTGAATATATCAATTTAATAATCATACTCATGCTAGGAATAGTAACTAATCTCATGATGCCATAGAGTTCTAATTATTTGATATTTTACACTTAATTGAATTTATTTTATCTTAACAATTACTGTTTTTTAACTTCATTATTATTTTTTTAACATAAAAGATTATTTATCCAAAATTTTCAATTATTTAAGTGATCAAATGTATCAATAAAATTCTGACAAAAGTAAGATTCATTTTAAATTAAAATAAAAACAATTAGTTAGATAATGATAAAATATTGTATCTATCTTCTTGTTCAAGGAAGAAATCATGAGTGGATATTTAAATTACAGTTTAATATCTACACAAGTCATTTTAAATGTTCCATGGCTAAGATGTTGTTATTGTTAATTATTGTGTATTTAATCATTTGAATTACTCATTTATTTATAGTTTCTTTGATTATAATCAATACCTGAACATTTAACCTTCATTTTTCCCATTGTAACACTAATCAATGTAAGTGTCAGATAAGTCAGTTTGCGATATTAATCATTAAATGTACCTATTTATGTTTTTTGGCCTTTCCTTCTATTTTTTAATTTTCTGTTTAGTTAGACGAATCACAAATTTAACTTTTGTAAGGTAGTAATCTTCATTGACTGCATTTCAGGTTGTTGGATATTTACTGTCAAGAATAATAACAGTCAGTTTATTATTTAGCCCTGTTTTTTTCCCCAGTAGCCACCAGTAAAGTTTTATTTTTTTTATGAAAAATGTCATTTTGGTATTTAAATCACTTACTGAAACTCTAAAGAAATAATCAACAATTTTTTTGTTGAATATATTCAACCACTGTCACGTAAGATAATTAATTGCTTCCTTTATCTATCCCTACAAATGTTCCAGTAAATAAAAACAAACTTTTGTTCAAAATATTTTGAATAATTTGAATTCAATAGGATTAAACTTAATTTTAATTCAACTTTGCTAGTTACATTAGAAGAAAGGTAATCGTAAAAAATTTATTTTGTTTCTCAAAATTAACTTAATTTCCTAAAATAATTTTAAAATTCTTCACTTTTCACATACATTCATTGCAATAATTCTCCTAGATGTTATTTATCATGTTTATACACTCAACCCTTCAAATTTTATTTGATTAATTTATATGTATTATTTTTATTTTTTTTATTTTTTACTATAGCGATTGAAGCTGAAAAGGGACAGCAAAAGTTAATTGAGGGTATCGAGAATTTTGATCCTAAGAAACTTAAGCACACTGAAACTCAAGAGAAGAACCCCCTTCCAACTAAAGAAGGTAATAAATAAATTGCTTTCTATTTTTTCAGTTTTTAAGTTTATTTAAAAAATGATTAAAGGGGTAGAAAATAAGACCCTTTAGGAACTATTTGTGGAGAACAGGAAATAATTTTGATCACAATTTGATTTTATATCTGATGTCAAATTGAATAAAATAGAAAAATAACTTTATTCTGAAACATAGTCCTTAATGAATAAGAACTGTATACAGAAATATATAGATTATTTTTGCATAAAAGATTTGTTATATTGAATAGATTAAAACAAAAAAATGGTTTATCGAAAATATTTACAACAAATGAAGAATATTTAACCTTTAATGGGTGTGACTCCCAGTTGGGTGGAAATGGGTGTATGTACCTCACAGATATCAGTTATGGTTAACATCAGTGAACAAGATTTATTTTTGTTAATCATCAATTCTTCATTTTAAAAAACAATATTTGATCTAATAAGTAGGTTATTCAAACATAAAAGTAAATAGTTTCTATTAAAAAAATATTTTATGATAACATATTTTCCATATAAAAATCAGACATTCATGAAAACTCAAAACTCAAATTTAGTTCTGTATTAATCATAAACTTTTAAAATAATAAAATACAATTATTAAGGTATTTTTTTTATTTTATGATGTACTATATTTTTTGAATGATGTTAACAAATTACAGTTTATATGTTAACATCAAATATTATATAGATCTCAATTCTATGTTGATTTACAAATTATTCTCGATTTGCAAAGCTTAATATTTTTTTTTTCATTCATTTTAAAACAAATGTTGCCGCTATTGGAATGCCAAACAGATTTGTTTGAGGTTCTTATTTTCTGCTAATAGTAAAGCAATCTCACAATACCATTTCATTTCAATATTGATTTGAAACACATATAATATCGCTATGAGTAGTATTATTTATTTGGAATAAATAAAAAATATTTAAAAACAATTTATGAAAAATGAATAATTTTAACTTACATAATAGATGTTCATCTAACTCATATTAAACACATGTTTTTTCGCTTCTTATTTAAAATAGATAGTCAGTCAAAATTGAAGTGAGATAATTTTTAAAAAAAGGATGGTTACAAAAAAAAGTGGATTTCTTCCTTCTTTTTTAATTTTTTTTATGCTGTAACCAAGGCTCATGTAAAGGAACCATGTAAATCTAACATACTTCTTCTATTCCACATCAAATAAAGCGAATAATAGCTTTAAAAATCTCTATTTTAGTGCCATAATGGTTTTTTATATCATTCTGTTGGTTATAATGGAATATTTTTATTATGTTTCATATCAGTTTTACTTATAATTAATCAATTATTTATCATTTTTCAGCTATAGATCAAGAAAAGAGTGCATGAACATGAATCTATCAAAGTATGTGCTGGGATCAACGTTTTTATATATTATCTTTTGTAATTAAATTAATTTTATACATAAACATTATTATTACGTAACATTGATATGAACATATATTTTACCCTAAGATCTTGGATGCATCTAGGGTTTTGGTTATTGCAAATCCACATGTTTAATTTCAAGTGTTGCGTTTCTTGTTATTTAATTTCAAATTCAAATAATGTTTTCTTTCCTGGCATTATAGATTATATAATTATTTTTTAAAAGATTATAGGATTCTCGTTTCTTGGTTTGCAATAATTTAATTCTAGATTACCAGTAGTCCACACATGATGAATTTATTATTCAAATGTTACGTCTTTCATTTATTAAATGATTATTCACTACCTTGTAAAGTATTCCACGTAATGGTTGTATTTATAGTTTGTGAAGAATCGTTATGTACAGTTGCGGGATTGGATATTAACTTGACATTTATAACATGAAAGAAAGTGTGTGGCTTAGTGTGTCGTCTTATATTTTAAATTACTATTTATTATCGTGGCCTGGCTATGAAAATGTCTGCCCATTTAGAAATGTAATAGTGTAATATGTATGAAAAAGTCTGAAATTTTATATTATGTTTATTATTTTGTGTAAGAAAAATATGCTTGCTAGTCTTACTGACATGAATTAAAAGCAGATACTATTTTAAATTGGAATTTGCTTTATGCTTAAATTAATACAATAAAAATTTCAAAACTTAATATTAGTGTATATTTTTGGTTGTTTACCTGTCATTATATGAAGTATAATCTTATAATTTTCTAAGATAAAAAATGAAGTGTCACGCTCTTCTTAAAAAACATTATGCATTTGAGTATTTATTAACAAATTAAAACATTTTCAGCGAAAGTTCCACCAAATTAATTCTTTTTTTTAAATTATCAAAACAAAGAAGATTCTGCTGCTGGCAATCAACAAAATCTGAAGAAAGTAACAGAAAATGCAGGGAAAACAAAATAATTAGAACATATCATTGATTTATTGTAAATGGTCATCGAGTACATTTTTGACGGAACTGAACTTTTAAGAATGTTTTTGTTAATCTCTAGCTTATTTATTGATATAAAAACACTAAGTGGAAAAAAAAATAATAAATAAAACTGTTTATATATCAAATATAGTAACTACATGTTCAGAATGTTCTTATTTCTGAAAATTCATTGAAGTTTTTAGTAATTTAAGTTTATGAAATGTCAGTTACTGACTTTTTGCTATATCCGATATACAAAAACCTGAATATAAGAGATCTTGTGGAGCTGTTAAACAACCACAAAAAATAACTTCAAAAATTTACTCCACTATGGAAACTTTAAAAAATAATAAATTATCTGTAAAGTAAAATTAGAGGAGCCCAACTAAATACAGATCAGTTGTTTCTAGTAGAAGACACCTAAAACTTATTACTATGTAGGAGACCTAAAGCATATTTAAGTAAAAGTGCTTCAACAGGAAGACAAGAAACAAATATCCATTGATGACCTGTAAAGGAGCTTGAAGGAAAAAATGAGAACCAACACCTGAATACCACTTTGTGGCATTGGTCAAGTATTGTTTTTACTGTCTATGGGATGCAACTGAAGTGGTTAAAAGAAAATTAGTTTTCACTACAACATCCCAAAATGTTAGAATGCAGAGATGGCCCAGAGTGAAAGAAAAGAACGATAGGTATATATAACGGGAGAAATACACAATAAAAAAATTTTTAAAAATCAGCAAGACTATATTCAGAAGCAAAACTAATGCAAGTATGATTAAAAAAAAAAGGCTAAAAATAGATCCAACCAGAGATTGAAAGGAAATCAAAAGGAAAACAGGTGAGATACATAAAAAATGCAGTTGGACAAATTAATATGATAGGGAATGCGGCGGAAGAGATAGGACTTATTAAAGATACATGATTTGATAAATATCTTTCTTGATGTTACTGATGGATTTGGTGGAGTCTGGTGGTCTAATGTTCTTCTCTGTAAGTATGAATATTATATACATAAAGAAGGTTATGAATTTATGAGACTGATAGGAGTGTTGGATTATTATAGGCATGGGAGTAATCTGAAAGTTGACAGAGGTTGTCCTCAGGGATCTGTTCTTGGACCTCAGTTATGAAAATTTGTTTTCGATGACTCATTGATGGTGTCTATCTACGTTTTGGATCTAGAGGTTGAGAGACGATGGGCAATGTACAGATTACATATGAGTGGTGGGGTTTATTTGAGAGAACAGTTGGTTGTAAGAGTTAAGAAGAAGAGTGAGGTGGAGGAATAAGTTTGAAAAATCTAGGTGGACGTATGATTCTATCCATAGTGTAGATGATCAGAACAATCGATGAGGATAGCATTTTCCGATTTTCGAAGATGAGTATGCAAAATTGCTTACATAGAGGGAGGCTAAGAGGGGTGAATGAGTGAATGTGAAGTTGATCATAAGAACAGTGTGAATTTGAATAGAAGACGTAAAATGAATGTTGTAGATCAACTATATAATAGATAATTACGAAGGATGAAATAAAGATGGTAATTGATAGCATTATCCTAGAATTTATTAAATTCTGAAGTGAACTATTGAAAAAGATACTTCTGGCACTATTCCAAGAATTTTGAAATGAAAAGAGAATACCAGGTGAATGGGAGCAAAATATTATCTTCATCCATAAATAGGAAAGTCAGACCATCTGAGTAACCTAGACCTAATTGCCTATCCTTAATTGTATACAAACTATACACTTTAACACTGGAATGAAATATACCATACTTCATTGAAATAGAAATAGGAGGCTTATAACTTCCTAGTAGAGAAACGCAGGAACATTTGTTCCCTTTAATAATGGTGCTCCAGAGAAAAAGGCATGGGATCGATAACAGAGCATATGCCTTGCTTTTCTTGATCTAAGAAATGCATTTGACTCACATCTACTCCTGAAAATCTGGAATTCCTTGATAGAGAGAAATATATTACCAAATTCTATAAATTCTGGGAAATCAGGTAGGTTTTTTTTGTACTTCTTGAGCAACCTCCTTCTCCTTCCCTCCCCCTCCCTACCCTTATGCCAGAAATGGCGAAGCAAAGGGAAATGGAAAAAATATGAAGGTAAGTCTAAATTGAATACTTTTTATTTATTTATTTATTTTTTTTTATACTTTTTTTTTTAAACTAAATTATGCTCTTAAAACAGAGTATTTAATGGAAGACAGGTCTTTCTTTAATTTTTTAGATAGTTCAATTAATCATCAATTCAGCAGTAGATTTGTTAATACTGTCCCCATAAGCAAGGCAGAAAACATTCCCCTCTAACCCGCTCCTATATGCTATTGTTTCTAGATTTCATTTTTTTACCACCCTGCCTTGTCTTTTGACAATATAGGATTCAGTAGCAGTTGTACTAAGCTGAAACGGTTTGTGTCATAGCAGCCAATTTTCTCTACTTTAAAATCTTCGTCTTCCTGGTATGGAGCTTCGTCATCTTCCTGGGAATCCTAGGATAAACTGGGCCAAGACCGTTGCCTGCTTAATCATTCCGAGTTTGAGCTTTATGGTTTGATACCGGCTTGAAATTTATTTTGTAGCGGACCCACGGAATGAATCTTGAACTTCCCACTCTGGTTAGAATATGTCTTTAATCAGTTATTTCTACTTATGTTTAGAACAACGTTCCCCTCAGAAATGGCGAGGTAGAGGTTAAATAATTTATTTAAAAAAACGATTAAACAGAACCGGCTCTACGGCCGCCCAATTTGTGCCTACACCAACTGTATTGTACGAACCTCGATGGAATGAAAAAAAGGTCGATGTATTGGTTTTTAGGAAATATCGGTATTGGCTGAGATTTTTATATAGATTACCATCTATATATGATTGAATGATTTGTCCACTCAGTATTAAGGAGAAGATTTTAAGTGAAACTGTTAGAACCTCGCATGTAAATATTATAACAAATTAAAGAAAACATCCAATATAAGAATTAATTTTTTATTATAAAAGTTATAATATCTTTTTACTTAATTAAGAGTTACTTTAATTCAGATTAAAAATAGTCTGAGTTAAAACATTATTGAATCTAATGATAAATATATCAACAGATAAACAGTCGTCTGAAAATCAATATTAACATAAAGTATAAATATTATAAAATAATATTAACTGAGCTGAATTTCTCATCAGTAGTAAATATCACTTAAAGCTGCATAACGCATCAAACTTTAGAATCCCGGTGGGCAATTGGATTGATTGACAACAATAAGATCTTTGGTATTTGGACCAATAGATTGCATTGCTTCTTTAATTGTAGTATTTGTGGGAATAGGGCTTCTTGTGATGATCCATCTCAATCTTATATTTTTACCTGAAAAATATAGTCATAATTAAAATCAAAACATTCTCCAAGTATAAGTTCATTAATTTGGGGCGGGGTGGCCGAGCTGCCTAATATGTATGCAACACAAGCATTGCCCGGCGACTTGATGAACCGAAGTTTACGGTACAGAGAGGACTTTTAACTCAGGCATTGATCCTCTCGGGAAAAAGCCCAGTATAGTCTAAAAGACAAAGAAGAGATGGACAAAGAAATAATTAATTTTAAAAAATAGTTCATTAATTTATCCATCAACTACAAATAATGTTGTGAATGCTAATAATTGGAAGAAATATACCTAATATTTACTCTTATTCAAAATTCCCACAAACTATTAAAATACTAATTTTATGAAAATACCTTTTTCGTCCTTTAGTTGATTACACATAGCAATAGTCATCCACGAGAGATAATCATCAGTCCCAATTATAGCAATGGTGAAATTAACATTAGCTAAAAAAGGAATAAAAAAAATATAAGTAAAGTGTATATATTTAAACAGGTGATGGCAGTCTTTAAATGATAAAAAAACGTTTCTTTAAACTATGATCTGATTTTTCCCAGAAAAAACAAGTTTTGTGTTATTTTTAAAAGTATATTATATTTTTTGTTGAATAACGAATAACTAAAAATATTTAATTTAAATATTAACAAATGCATCTTAATAATGTAGACAAATTTTCTTAACTTGAATATAGATTTTTGAAGAGAAGTTGGCGGGATTTTCAATCAATGAAAGTTCAAAGTAAATATAGATAAATTAGTGTTGTGATAAATAAATAATTATATTTATATTTCATTAATGTATCATAAATATTTTTAAAAATGTGTTTAGAATGTTCATCAAATCATTTAGATTTTTTCTCATGGGCTCTCGGACTACAGAGTTTGTAGGATCATCTTCCAGTTTCTTTTTATACTACATCTCAAAAATATCGGCCCAGTGTTTTTGTAGAAAAGCCGTAAATGAAGGACAGACTTTTTTTTTTTCAATATTCTGATTGTATTTTGAAACATAAGCCTTCAAATTTTAAGGGGAGGGGAGAAGGTTTTAACTGTTTGTTTTCAAGATGGATTGTAATTTTTTAATTATAAAAAAAAAAAAAAAGGGAGCAGCAGAACTCCCTTTCTACTCGAAGTCAATTCTACTCGAAGAACTTAAAATTTACATCCATAATAAACTTCACCCAAAAGAAGCAGAAAACAATAATTACGATGTTAACATTGGATATTCGAAAAACATAAAAAGTATTAACTTTTTTGTTGATATCGTATATAATCATTTGAATGAATACTAAATTACCTAAAAAATAATAATACCAATCATTTTAAATCGGACGATTTGGTAAAAATATATGTTGTTCCAAATGTTTTCAAGCTTTATCTATTGTTTTGTCTTAAACAAACTGTATGACGGATCTTTGTAATTACTGGACGGATTTCGATGAAAGTTTTTATAGTTTAGGAAATTTAAATGTCTTCAAAATTAACCGCCCTCCCCCTCTCTTAACTTTTTATTAAATGGCAATGTGTTTGGGTAGGTGGGTGATACTTTGTTTAACTTTTTCTTGGGAGAGGGGAATTAACCTTCCCCCCCTCTGAATTTCTTTAAAAGATAACATATGGCAATATGTTTGGTTGGTGGTTAATACTTTTTCAACTCTATTTTTTTTTGAGGGGGGGGGCAAATTCTCTCCCTTCCTAACCCGAATTTTTTAAAAGAATGGTATTTTGGCAATATGTTTCACCTACCCAAACTATTTTTTCCTTTTAATTTTTTTGGGGTAGGGGAAATCTCAATAACAAAGGGGGGAAGAATAGGTGCAGGACAACAACAAACTGAACTTTGTTTTAGTTAAAACTGTAATTCAAGGAACCGCCAAAGATGTAATACTACTAACAAACATCATGTAGAATAGTTTACTCCTCTATAAAAATCGTGAATCAATTTAAAAAGTCTATTAATAAAGATATGGTAAAAAACAAGTAAGGTTCGAGTCTTGGCCGAGTCGGGAAAGCTCGAGCCTTATAGCCTTTTCATCCAGCTTTTTCACAACACTAATATCGTTACTTTAGTGCTGTAGTCTATAGAGAAACAGGTTTTTCCGCCGTCATCTAGAAACAAAATGGCGACTGGCGGTGAGCCCTCCAAATGCACCTCTCCAACACCAACTTGATATATTTACAAAATTCAAATCTTCCAACTTAGGAGGAGCTGTAGAGATGCCCAATACTTTAAAACCATAGAAAACGTTCTTACATGCCAACATTTTTGCAAAGTTTAATAATATCGTTCCGCCTGGGAATAAACTCTATATACCGAATTTTAACTTATTCGGCCAAATAATCTTCTGAAGAAGCAGAACTGTAGCGGAAAAAATAATATATATATAACTGCCATTTCTAAAAATTGCAGAATCGTGCTGTAGAGGTTCCAGAAACCACGACCATGCCTCCACTGATGATTTTCGATACAGTGCAAATGGTCTATTATTTCCGAAGGTAAATAGACAATTAACCAAGTGTATAAAAAAAAAAAAAATCATAAAAAAGTACTTACCAAGTGGAACAAATGCATTAAATATTAAACTGCTGTTAGAAATTAAGTCGATGTCCAACTTTGTCAGTGCGTATGAATTAAACCTGTTGGGAAAAAAAGATATATTTTCATTTTTTATAAATAATTACATGAAAACAAAAAAAAAAAAGCAAATTAATTACTTTTCATTGTACCCGAAGTTCTGTAAAGTATATTGGGTTACGTTTGGTGGCAGCATTGTAGTATTAATGTTAATGCCAATACATTTGCAAGGTGTAATAGTATCTGAAAAGTTATTTTATTTAATTCGCTCAAAAGTTTATTTTACATATATAATACTTATTAAATATATATATATATATATATCCCCTATCATTATGAATTTTTTAATATGATAGAAATAAGCAAACAGTCAACATGCTCTAACTCCTCATCCGTTGGGTCTACATCAAAAAATTACTTATAAAATTAATAGTATATTTTATCTTCTTTAAGTTTGTGTATTCTAATAATTTCGATAAAATGCATAGTTTTGGAGTCATATCCAAAAAAACTAAAAAAAAATTCGCAAATTTCGCTGTTTTTTTGCACTTAACTCGGAACACAGTGGAAAATGTAGTTCGAGAACATCAAATTAAATTTTTTCCTCATTCAACTACCATACGACTGGACTAATTTGATAACTTTGACGTCGTTTTCAAAACACAACCTATCGTTCATCGTCAGTCAAGTTGAATTCTCTTTTAATGACATATTCTTGACATCATGTCAAAATTTCAGAAGTATGTTCTTCCCTTAAATGAACCGTCAAATGGTAACCCTTTAATTTTAATTTTCGCATAGGCAGCAATGGCTTTCAACCGACTAATTGAAGTTGTGTGTTCAGATGAGGTTGATCTAGAATTTAAGATGGTTCCTAGCTAGCTATAAGCCCTTCCGTTACATGAAATGGTCGGTAGCACCTATTCTATATTCTATGATACGCACAATTGTTTTTTTTTTTTTTTTTTTTGTTCCTGCGGTTAAGCCATTTAAACTCTTTACACTTAACTTTGCTTTGTTCCATTTACATTATAGAGTATTGTTCAGTCATGGAGGATCAGAAATAAATGGTCGTCAAATGTGTCGAATCTTCTCCATTTTTTTTTTTAGATAATACTTGAGTTAAAACTGATTTAATATTATCTTTTTGCCATTTACCTCTAATAAATTAAATTGAGTTTTAAATAACAATATAATTTTAGGACCAATACTAATGTACATTACATTACACCCTATTTGAGTATGCGGCTAAAGTATGATTGAACTGAGCAGTAAATATTAATATTTTGTTTGTTTATCATACAGTAGAGATGGGCAGTACTCGATTACTTTCATGATTTGAGTAATTTTATTAAGAAAAAGTATCGAGTAGTTTCTGTACTCGGCCTGGCAGCGGCGAGTACTGAGAGTACTCACGCAGCGTCAATCATGATTTAGTTAAGTACAGAAAATACTCGCGCTGTTATATCGAATTACAGAAAGTACTCAGCCCAATTCCTACAAAGAGTACTTTTTATTTTTCAACTACTCCGTCATTATTATAAAGAGTTTTCTTTTATTTCCTTCGATAATAGCGGCCATATTCAACCTGACCAATTCTAACTCCCCATTAATGGATATTAGACTAACCATGATGTTTTGGGGGGGACCCTTTTTATAAAGATATTCTATCGGATTTGAGATAGTGCCCCCGGACATCGAATTTTCATCCATTTTAATCGATACCAGGGCCGAGTATTATGTTTTGGGAGGCGCTTTTTATGAAAATGTTATCGAATTTGAAAATGGGACCCCCGGGCCCCGACATTTTCAACTTTTTGGATTAAATCGATATCAGGGTCGACTATTATGTTTTGGGGGGCGCTTTTTATGAAAATGATATCGAATTTCAGATTGGGCCCCCTGGGCCCCGACTTTTTTTAACTTTTTGGATTAAATCGATATCAGGGTCGACTATTATGTTTTGGGGGAGGGGGCGCTTTTTATGAAAATGATATCGAATTTCAGATTGGACCCTCCGGACCCCGACTTTTTTTAACTTTTTAGATTAAATCGATATCAGGGTCGACTATTATGTTTTGGGGGGCGCTTTTTATGAAAATATCGAATTTCAGATTGGACCCCCCGGACCCCGACTTTTTTTAACTTTTTAGATTAAATCGATATCAGGGTCGACTATTATGTTTTGGGGGGCGCTTTTTATGAATTTGAGATTGGGCCCCCGGGCCCCGACTTTTTTTAACTTTTTGGATTAAATCGATATTAGGGTCAATTATTAGGTTTAGGGGAGCTCTTTTCATGAAAATGATGTCGGATTTCAGATAGTGCCCTCGGGCACCGACTTTTAGTAACTTTTCTGATTTAATAGATATCGGTCGACAATTAAGTTTTGGAAGACGCTTTTTATGAAAATACTGTCAGATTTGAGATTGTACCCTGTGGATTCACTTTTTGGAATTACTCGATATCAGGGCCGTCTATTATGTTTTAGGGAACGCATTTTATAAAAAAAGATCTGACACAATTTTCATAAAAGTGTCCCCCAAAACCTCATAAACAACATTGATATCGATTAAATCCGAAAGGTTACAAAAAGTCGGGCCCCGAGGGCACTATCTCAAAATTTATGAAAATGATTCGTAATCAAGAAAAGTTACTAAAAGTCGGTGCCCGAGGGCACTATCTAAAATCCGACATCATTTTCATGAAAAGCGCTCCCTTAAACATAATAGTCGACCCTGATGTCAATATAATCCAAAAAGTTAAAAAAAGTCGAGGACCGGGGGGGGCCCAATCCCAAATGCAATATCATTTACATAAAAAGCGCCCCCCGAAACATAAGAGTCGACCCTGATATCGATTTAATCCAAAAAGTTAAAAAATGTCTGGGACCGGGGGGCCCAATCTCAAATTCGATATCATTTTCATAAAAAGCGCCCCCAAAACCTAATAGTCGACCCTGATATCGATTTAATCCAAAAAGTTAAAAAAAGTCGGGACCCGGGAGCCCCAATCTCAAATCCCACATCATTTTCATAAAAAGCGCCCCCCAAAACCTAATAGTTGACCCCGATGTCGATATAATCCGAAAAGTTACAAAAAGTCGGGCCCCGGGGGCACTATCTCAAATCCGACAGCATTATCATAAAAGTCAAGTGGTGTAGAAAAAAAAAATGGTCCCCAAAGTTGATTAAATCCAAAATATTTTAATAATTCTTTATTTTATCGATTTACATTAATATCGATACTATTTAAAAAAACTAAACTCCCATAAGATAACAATGGACTTAAACATGCAAGAAATATTAAATATTCTACTCCTGTAATTTTTATAATGAAATACTCGATTACTTTGAAAAGTACTCAGAGTAAAATATTGCTGAATAGATTTAAAAATAGAAAGTACTCACGAGGCCAGCTGATTACTTTTTGTACTCGTCAATCATGGGGTAGAGTAGTGATTGAAGTACTCGATACTCGAACCGGGCGAGTATTTGAGTAAATTACTCTGTAATTGTACTTTTTACTCAGAGTACAATTTTGGCCATCTCTATCATACAGTTCTACAGAAGTCTAACACTTTGAGAACGTGTACTGTACAAAGTTTAATATGGTGGATCTTTTCTATCACTGGTTCGATTCAGATTTTGTTTTTACTTTACATATTTATTGTGGTTTAAATTTGTCTGAAGTCATATGAGCAGACAGAATACATATATGTTTAGTTATAAGCAAAAATTATAAAGCCTATACAATATTTATATATACAATCGACTTACTGAAAAATCCACAGGTATTTTTTCCTTCTGTTGAATTTCCAATTTCCGATGTTCTTACCAAGTGCCATCTGCCTACAGCCTGAAATGAAACATTATGTAAATAATTGTAGTTGAAAAATTGCTCTGAATGTTTCCTCTCAACCACAGGTTTCGATCACTTTCGTACGGTAGACATATCATATAACAATTTAACAATTCATAAGAGATGAAAATGAAAAAAAAATGAAACTGAATAAAGTTATTCAATTCAAAGGTCAATAAAATTTGCATGAATAAGTCCTAATATTATTATCTAAATTAATGTTTTACAATATACATCGCCTTTATCTTTTCCCGTTTATTAATTGTAATAGTGAAAAAATAATAATAATTATAATTATAATAATAAAAAGAAGTAACGAGTTAAAATTCAGTGCGCTGTTTTGGCCCACCTGAAGAAAAGTAGATCCTTTAGTGGTGGAGGTACAAGAGCACTTCTCCATTTGAATCACTAGCGGATCCAGGATTTGATTTTGGGAGGGGGCTTCAGCCCGAGAGCTTTTTTTTCATAAAAATGTCGATAATTACTTTGGAAAAAAAGAAAGAAACTAACTATCCATATGAAATGGTGTTTAAGTGATTCCTTAAGTCCTTTTAAATGTAATTACACGAACAATAATATTTTAAGAGATAATTTTTAAATATTTTTATCCATAGAACATTGTTATATTTTACCATTTTGGGGGAGGGGCTTCAGCCCGAAAGCCTCCTCCCCCCGTAGATCCACCTGTGATTTGAATATTGAATATTCGTGGACGTACATTTTTCCTTCTAATCTACCAAGGTGTTAAGTATTATACATATACTGTAGTAAAAAAGCTTGAATAGACATGGGTGAAAAGTTGCGATGGGCCAAACCCATTTCAATCTAAGAAGGGGAGGAGCTAATGAACCATTGGTGTGAAAAGTCTAGGAAAATAAATAAAAAAGAGCAGAAGATCGAGCTTTACTTGCAGTAGTGAGATGTTAAGCTGACCTGCCTAACATCTTACTACTGCAGAGATTAATATTGCCTAAAAGGTGAGGCGGGTTTTAAAATAAATAATTTCATAATAATAAATGCTGTAGATATGGATCGAATTTTAAATTCGATGGCTCAAATTTTTGGAGAGATCGTTCGAATGTTTTGAAACAATGTGGGCTCAAAATACGAACAAATCGCCGCCTAAAATGTGTTACAATCATTCCCTTAGGATCTAATGGGTTATGGTATCTGGGTTATTAGGTTATAGTTATCTGTAGTAGTATTTTTAAATTAAATTTTATTCTTTTTTTTTGCAAATAGTACAATTTATATTCTTTACGTGTGATCACTAGTGTTGCCCAAAATTGGTCTTGGTCTTTGGTCTTGCACTTTTGCAAGACCAAGACCACGAAAATTGTTGCAAGACCAAGACCGAGACCAGACCCTGCTAGTCTTGCGCATGACCAAGACCAAACTCTGCTAGTCTTGCAGGTCTTGCAGTTAAGTCAAACTGAGACTATTTTCAGATATAGTACGGTGCTTAAACATTTTAATCATCTAATCTAAACAGCGTTGTTTTTTTCTTGTGGAATCGTATATTTGAGTATAACCTTCCAAATAATAATAAAAAAAATAATCTTTTTTTTTGTTCTCCCGCTACCTCGCCTTTAAGTTATACGGGCGTTTTCGCCGGCCATGAATGAGGGCGGGGATTTTAATGCCAGAATTATAAGACTGGCGGGCAGTGGGACGCGAACTTATAATTATTTTATTTTCTCCATCATCGGTTATCAGGTTGCCGGGCAACGCGCAGTGCTGTGCACAATCGTTAGTCCACTCGGCCACCCCGCCCCTAAAAATTAATCATTTGCCAGCACCGGAGCAAGATAAGAAAACAAAACATGAATAAAAATGAAGACTAAATGTTTACTAATACTAGCCCATTTTAGTTACTATAACGAAACTTAAGATACAAGCCTGATGAAAATATACAACGGCATAACTCGAAAGAAATGATTTCTTTGCATTGACATCTCTGTGTTTCGTCCGCTGTTCGCAGTATTCGTTATTTCTTTAAAATGTCTTACATCAAGTTTTAATCGAGTGGCTAAATTACAAATACTGAACTTTCTGATACACTCATTAATTACACACCTTTTTCTTTGAAATTTAACCGGAACCATGTTGACATATTATAATCAAATGTATGTAAATGACAACAAAGGGTTAAGACTAAATTCTATTTCAGAACCGGATTCCTTGGTGGAACTAAGCAACAGTAAAGTGGATTAATGTTCTAAGAATATGAGTTTCACAAGTTCCGTATAGTCACCCCTTACTGGATATTTTTGGCTATAAAATCCGTTATTTTTAACCTGATTTCCTTGTTTTTTTCGTTTTGTAGCAAAACTATTATACGAGCAATGAATATATTATCAGAAATAATATATAGCATTTCCAAGTCAATTTAAACCTTTTCCAAATTAAATTCAACCTTTTCCAAGTCAAATTCAACCTTTTCCATTTCAAATTCAACTTTCGAATTTTTGTCAAAAATCCGATTTCTTTAAAAAAATCCGAAAAACCTAAATAAGTCGAAACGCGGTGGCCTAATCTTAAAATGGAGGTCGTTTTCAAAATCTACGGCTCCGGAAACATAAGAATGCACCCTTTTATGAAAAAAAATTCGAAACACTTAAAGAAATCGATACGCGGTGGCCTAATCTTAAAATGGAGGTCGTTTTCAAAATCTACGGCTCCGGAAACATAAGAATGCACCCTTTTATGAAAAAAAATTCGAAACACTTAAAGAAATCGATACGCGGTGGCCTAATCTTAAAATGGAGGTCGTTTTCAAAATCTACGGCTCCGGAAACATAAGAATGCACCCTTTTATGAAAAAAAATTCGAAACACTTAAAGAAATCGATACGCGGTGGCCTAATCTTAAAATGGAGGTCGTTTTCAAAATCTACGGCTCCGGAAACATAAGAATGCACCCTTTTATGAAAAAAATTCGAAACACTTAAAGAAATCGATACGCGGTGGCCTAATCTTAAAATGGAGGTCGTTTTCAAAATCTACGGCTCCGGAAACATAAGAATGCGACCTTTTATGAAAAAAATTCGAAACAATCAAAGAAATCGAAACGCGGTGGCCTAATCTTAAATTGGAGGTCGTTTTTAAACTCTACGGCTCTGGAAACATAAGAATGCACCCTTGTATCGAATAAATTAAAAAAACTTGAATAAGTCGAAACGCGGTAGCCTAATCTTAAAATGGATGTCGTTTTCAAAATCTACGGCTTCGGAAACATAAGAATGCATGCTTATATGAAAAAAATCCGAAAAACTTAAATAAGTCGAAACGCAGTGGCGTAATCTTAAAATGGAGGTCGTTTTCAAAATCTACGGCTCTGGAAAAATAAGAATACACCCTTGTATCGAATAAATAAAAAAAAATTAAATAAGTCGAAACGCAGTGGGGTAATCTTAAAATGGAGGTTATTTTAAAAACTAGGTACAGGACAGCATAATACTAGTCCCTAATAAATCCGAATAGGTACAATAAATCGATATCCGTAAGTGAAAATTCTACTTAGGAGAGCATAATAATAGACCTTCATATTGGAGGGGTGGGGAGAGGATGACCATTATTTAAAAAAAAAATAATATTTACAAAAAATTAAAACATTAATTTGAAATGAAAACGGTTGAATTTGAATTGGAAAAGGTTTAATTTGAAATGGAAATGGTTGAATTAGACTTGGAAAAAGTTTAATTTGATTTGGAAAAGGTTGAATTTGACTTGGAAAAGGTTGAATTTGACTTGGAAATAATTGAATAGGACATAGAAATATTACACTGAAAAAATCTAAAATGTTAAAATAAATGGATATGCAAGAGCTTTATCAATTTTTTTTTTTTTTGTATTTTTCAAAAGCTATGCCTTCAATAATATAGTAAGTGGCCTTCATTTAGAAAAAAAATCGAAAATTGACAACAATTCGAAAGATGAATTTGAAATGGAAAAGGTTGAATTTGACTTGGAAAAGGTTGAATTTGAAATGGAAAAGGTTGAATTTGACTTGGAAAAGGTTGAATTTAATTTGGAAAAGGTTGAAATTGACTTGGAAATGCTATATAAAAATTGTACATGAAACAGAATTCAGAACTTCAACCTAAAACTCAGTATGAAATTATTTTATCTTAGCTTATTTTTTAAACGCTCATTTTGACTCATACCGGCCCATTCTCGTCCATGAATTGTTCTTTATTTTCCTTATAGTTCTTCATTCTTATAATTGATAATTTTTTTACTGTACATTCTACCAATTTTTCATCTTCCATTTTTTATTTTATTTCATATATAACTTATGACACAGTAGTACATTAACGTTTATTGTTATTCTGGTCATAATAGTTATTATAATTTACTAATAATTTAATTAATGATTTAAGTTTGAGAGTTAATCATTAATAAGTTTAAGTTAATGAGTAACAGGTATTGAGAAACGTCGACAAACGGTGGCAACTATTGTTTGTTAATTATTGATGTACACATCTCAATGAAGGTTTTCGAACAATTTTCAAAGAATGGATGGAATCTAAAATTTTGCAGTAGAAGGAATGCACAGAATTGCCATGGAACTTCCAAAATTACATAAATTGTGAAATGATTCCCGATGAGCTAAATAAATGTTGTTTTTTCATATTTCTATCATCTAAAAAGTGGAAAAGTATTTTAGTGGACATTAACAAAGATTTTATAATAATTCTGTGAAAACTGAAATTATTGGTAACCCAAATTCAGGCTATATTGTACATATTTTTCAATACTTTAATTAAATTCAACAACAACAAAATCTGGCCGTTGATAGCTCAGACCTGATTGGGTATTGGTAGTTTTAGTTCAGAGAAGAACATAGTGTTATATCCTTTTGGTACCACTGTGTGCAGTCCGTTATGGAGAAACGTTTCAATCAAAATCTAAATAGGAAACTAAATCACGTGAAGGATGCGCGGCACTTGTTCATAATATCTAAGTGCCTAAAATAATAATACCTAAGTACCTAAACTACTAATAAAAGCTTTTATGAATTTTATGTGCGAATCTAACATATGTGCTAAAAACATTAATCAATTAATTGTATAAACATATCTATTTATGCTTTATGAAGTTAAAAATTAACATTATGCAGCTCTAATGATTTTAATGAAACTTTCTTCTAATTTTCTACTTAATCTTTCTTTAAATTTTCGTATTTTTAGTGAATTCTCGAGATAATTCAAGAAAAAAGTTATAAAGAAAAAAAAATTGTTTTGGGGAGCTAACTCACCACGTATACACCTATCGGTTTTAAACGGATCTAAACGTTTCTGAGCCTGTTTTGGGAACAATATATAAATTGTCTTTACTCTGCAACTCTTTCATTCCATATAATCAGAGGGATGGAGAAGGGTTACCGATATCTTTCTTTATTCTTAATTTTATTGATTTAGTTGTACTTTACAATATTTATGTCAGTAAAACAAATAATTGTAGTTATTTTGTAGAGTTTTTCAAAGATTTAAAGTACCATATTAATAAATAGTAATAAGCTGATAGTTAACTGCAAGACTCTTGCGCAAGACCAAGACTAAGTGCGCAAGACCAAGACCAAGACCACGAGTATGTGCGCAAGACCAAGACCGAGACCAAGACCAAGACCGAGACCAAGACCAAGGTTCGTTGACGCAAGACCAAGACGAGACCGAGGCGGTCTTGGTGTTGGTCTTGAGTTGGGCAACACTAGTGATCACCAACTTACTCATGATATGATATGAATTCAACAAAAAATTAGCAATAAAGGAATTAAATAGGAAATAAAAAAATTACTAAGACATTTTTATGCAATGACTTGTTGTTGTGAGCCCAAATTGTTTCAAAAACACTCAGACGAACTCTCCAAATAATTTGAGCCATCAAATTTTGAAATCAGTCCGTATCTACAGCAAATCTACCGAAAACTTGGGTATTTATTGTTGGGAAATTTGGCGTCTACGAATATTTAAACTTGGTGTAGTATTCGGATGCCTTCTAGTACAATATATGGCTCCTGGCCGTGGCGGATTCAGTCCCACGTACCGCTGCTTTTCAACATCGGAAAGTCTTAATCTCCGTTCAGAGGAAAATTAACCGGACTACTACGCCAAGTTTAATTAATCCTAGAAGTAAATTTCCTTAACAATCTACCAGGATATTTAAATGGATATGCAAGTACATTCCCTTAGGGAGGATATTTGTGTAGTCGAGTTTTTAATTTTTTGTTGTATAGAATATTTTGTTCGCATTTTTCGCTTTTTTTTTTAATTGATGGACTAATTTGAGCCATCGAATTTAATAATCAGTCAAGCCGTTCGCTCAAAAAATCGTTGAATATTTACAATCGGTCAACCGAATAGCATGACCCTCCTTGTGGTTTTATCGTAGTCGAGTAATTAGATAACTTCAGAAATCTCATATCGAGTTTATTTAATTATCATAAATGTACTTACAGATGGTGAAACTATATTTTGCGCATTGATTCCAGTGCATGTAACGTTCTGGCCTTTACAATACAGAACTATAGTTGATAGTGATAACCATACGAAGAGGAATTTCATGCTCCTAAGTAAGAAAATAACTAAATAAATATAAAAATATTAAAATATAATAACAATAATAAATTTTAAGAGTGTACTTACTTAGGTGGATTATAAACCAAGTATATTTCTTTAAAGATGACTCATAAATTCGTACTTATCTCGTGGAAAATACTGGACGCTACAATTTTAGCATTCATTTAAATTTCATAATAATATAAAACAAATAATATTTGTTCCTGGTCCTCGAATATGTCAATGGAAATAGACTTGATTCATTGGTGTTATTTGAGATCAACATTCCATTTCATAAAAATGTAAGCTAGCGTAACATGATCCTTGCTAGACTGGACGCATAATAGTTAGTGCAGGGGAACTTCTTGCTCATTAGGCTTATATTACTTTTTTAAACATTCAAGCGGGTCATTACTACGTAGATAATTCTTGTCATAACTGGAAGTCATGCTTATCAATGAAGTTACTAATCACTAATTACTTCCTTGTTATTTTCCTATTTAGCCAGTATATTTTTTAAAGCCGATTTCAGTGATTTTTAAATCACATTATTTAAAAATGTAACATTCTTTTAAGGTAAGGTGGTGGTTAGTATTAGCCATGGTTGGTTTTTTTTTTACTGGTTCATAATATTTATTTCATCTGTTATTCATAATTTCAATGCCCAACCTCCTGAGATGTTTGTATTCGATCTCAGCAATAAACCGGCTGATATTACCCGTTGTGTGTGCGCGCGCGAGCGTGCGTGCGTGCGTGCGTGCGTGCGTCCGTGCGTGCGTGTGTGTGTGAATATTTTAGGCTGGCTAATGAATGATGTGGACTGTGCTCATTGGTTTTGATAACTAATTTACGACAGCCTCAATTTTAAATAGAAAAAAAAAGTGGAAGTATATTAAATGGAGAATACAAACAAAAATTGTTCTCATTCATTAGTCTAATAGCTACACAAAGAAAAAAGTGAAATATTATTTAACAGGTTTAACTACTATTTTACAGTTCGCTCGGTGTGGATTTCTTAGTGAATGTTTTGAAGTGAACAAAGCTCAGTTCGCTCAATCGTATTCTATTGTAAGTGAAATTAGTATGCTCTCTTTCCTTTCCTTCATTCTTCCTTAGCCAATTAGTTGAACGAATGTATTTTACGTAATTATGGTGTTTAGGTTCCTCAGAAAATTGAAATAGCAAGTACGGACTGTCTCGATAATCCGAATCCTAAGTAATTCGAAACACCTGGTAATCCAAACAAGAAAGAAATTTAAAAAGTTAAACTTGACTGACGAGATACGGGATGGGAATTGTCCTGTTTCTCTGTACATATAACTGGAATGAATTGCTTCGTGGGGTAATGTCGAAATCGTATTATGGTGACTATGAACGGAAAACATTAAAACTAGGCGACCATCCAGAAGTTGAGGAATCTCTTTATATGTGATTTTTGTAGCAGAGACCATGAGGGTGTCCAATGTGCCCGGGAATATATTAGCTGAAAAGGCCAAGTTTTAAAAAAAATATTTTTTTAAGAAGGATGACAAAGCAGATTTTAATGACAGTAAACATTGGCTTGAAAATTTCAAAAGGAGGTATGAAATACGTTTTTATTTCACTGGGAAATTTCTTCACACACATTTTATTTTATTTATTTATTTATTTTGATATTGATGTCAGGAAATCACTTCAGGAAACAAATGAGGCTATATTGATAAACTTTTATACCATCTACACACAAAACACCTCTATTCCTCTACATAAACATCACACTATCTGGAACGAAGGACTGCAACTGTCTGGGTAACCTCACCCAAGCCAACCTGCCATTGTTTACAACAGTGCTGCCAGATAGCATGCATTAACTCTACACATTCCCACCTTTATAATTTATGAAGTATCTGACGTTATTACCATAGAAGGTTAAAAATGAAAACAACTTTCGTTGGTGAAAACCAATTAATATATTTAAGACATATGGCGTTTCTTCGTTTTATAATATCTAAAACTACAGACAAGAATGGTTACTCCGTCTACTGTAATTAAATTAAATATTTAAAAAATCTTTTAGGAATATTGCAGCAGGAGAGTAATAATTAAGTTTTATTTAAAAGGTACAATAGAAAATTTCAAATACACCAGCTACTTATTTAATGCCATTTTCATACGATTAAGTTCATTCTAAAAACATTGATATTTACCAAATATGACTTTAAAAAATCAAATCTTCGTGTATAAGGTGTATATGCAATTATTGATCATACTATTGGAAATACGTTACGTGATGCTATATTACAGTGGTCATCCATGTTTCTTATCATTTTACCATAACCATATTCACCCCAACTCATGCCCCATGAGTTTTTAATAAGCCAGTAATCCATTTCTTTTTCGCGACCATAACCAACTACGAGAACGGCATGATTAACATTGGTATTATTTATGCATTCTTCGTCCTGGTAAATTCCTGTCAACATAAGTTCAACAATTAAATTCGGTTATTTAAATTTATCTCATAATAAAAACAAATTGGAAATCAACCACAAATAAATGGTATATCGATTATAAATAAATTGTATATCAATTATAAAAAGTGTTCCAAAAATTTGTTCGTGGTCTTAGACGTTTACAAGACTAAGATAGCCAAAATTGTTGCAAGAACAAGATGAGACTGGACTCTGCAAGACTTGTGCAAGAACAAGATAGTAGTCAGTCAAATTAGCTCAAAAAAGGGAACCTATCTTGCAAAAGATCGGATAATTCAAATTTATTTTTTATATTGCCAGGTATGTAGTGACTATAAAAAAATCAAGTTTTCCCCCTTGAAAGCCTTGTGGATTCGCTGCAGTGCTCCAAAAACCACTGAAATTTTGAACTTTTTTTGGTTTACTCTTAATATATATTTTTTAAAGCAACATAGATAACAAGTGGTTATATTCAATCTTAAACACCTTAAAATTATCTAACATTTTTTTAAATAACATTTTTTTCTAAACCGAACGGGAAACAAATTATCAAGCTTTAAAAATTGGTAAAGCTTAAAAAAAGAAAGAAATTTGACTATTCAATTATTGTATTAATATTTGTTCGTTAATACAATCATATGCCTATGCCAGTGCAGCTTTTCCACCAATTAAGTGTATTTTCTAAGTTACTGCTTCAGATATTTTAAAAAGTAATCAGTGTTTGAGAAAGAAAATTGTATTCCTCAAATGTTTTATTTCAGGGCGTTTTCGTTAAAAGACGCTTGATTTTCGTCTTTAGTTTGAAAGAATTGAAAAACCTGATTTTACTGGTGTTTTTTGTTGACAAGGCCAATTATTTTTTAATTATTTTTCATGTTTTGTGATTTTCTAACTATTTATCTTTAATATAAGGCATATTATGACGAAATTAAAGCAAATGCCAAGTCTAATTGACCGAAAAACCAACTTATGTCAAAGACGTCAATCTGCCATGTTTGAACGCCATTTTGGGTCAGTGCGGTCACTTTTTTTATGGGAAAATTCGGTTTTTTAAATAAATAGTTACAAGACACTCAACTGTACAATTTATTGGATTGGGGAGAGTGCACAGCAAGGGGGTCTGGCCCACCGTGTAACATACTTTTCAAAACACCTCCCGATTAACATCTACCGTTCCAGTTAATGGCTCATTATCTTCAAGAAAAACCTCCAAATTCCCTGGACCAGATTTAAAATGGAGTTAAAGAATTCATCTGTTCAAAATTTTTCTTGTTGAATTGGATATTTGAGTAATATACAAATAATCACAAAAATTGAACATTTGTCAGTACCAGAGAAAGATATAGAAAAAGTATTTTGTGAATAAAAATTAAGCCAAAATAGTTACTAATCCTTGATAATTTCAGTTTTGATAAGTTAGTTTTTGTAAAGAATTGGTAAAACCAATATATTTTTGCATTAAATTCTTTCGATTTTTCATTCGGGATTTAGTTAGGTTTCTTCATTCTGAAAAATGATAGTAATATCTCTATATGAGAAGGAGTTAGTCCGGGGTGCGGTCTAATAAATACTAAATTAAAATATAGTAATTATTTTATTTTAGTATAAAATAAAATATATTTTAAATATTTCAAAATAAAATATAATTTAAGTATAAAATATTTTAAAATAAAATAATTACTATGTTTTAATTTAGTATTTATTTGACCGCACCCCCGACTAACTCCTTCTCAAATTATATCAACGGTCAACCATTTCTACGTCATTATAATATCTCTATAGTATGTAGTGGTAACGTACCTACCCAGCAACAGTTTTTGATTCCCTTGATAATTCTTATTTATTTCCGTCTTCAAAGTATTTTAAACATCTTATACTTAGATTAAAAAAAATTAATCTGGTAAGGTCTTAATCATTTTAAGATAGGAAGGAGTGGTTTAGAGATTACAGTTTCTACGAATTGTCTATAATAAAAAATTGTAGTCCTTTTATTAAAGAATGCCAAAATAACCTTTTTCCGTTTTTCAGCGTAGAGATGGATTTTTGGGAAGAGCAGCAAGAAAACCCAGAAGAGAAAGGATAAAAAATGAACGAATTCTGGAAATGATGGAGAGGAAAAAAAATATTTTAGTGAATATTGAAAAGAAAAAGTTTAGTTTTCGATTTATTTTTCCTTTTAGGATTTCTTTGAGATAATTTACCATTATAATGCTGTGTAGGACAAAATGTAATTCAAATGACAAATAGTTTTGTTTTTTTTAATTGTAAACTTGTTTTAGCGCGAGTAGAAATTCCCCGCCTTTTCATTTGAATTTCCAAATATGATAGAAATTCACAGGTGAGTTGTTTAATACTTATTTTCATTTAAAATGCACTTGAAAGACTTCTTGCAATGGCTCACTTTTGCAAGACAAGTTCACTCAAAGTAAAGTGGTAAGTGAAAGTTGTGTAAGCACGCACCAGATTTTTAAAATTTTGTTTCCAGAAAATTCTGTCAAAAGCACTTACGAGGTTTGGTAGATGTCCAGTGGAATATACACTTGTAAATATCTATTATAAATGCATTATTTTGTACTTACCTCCTGAAAAAAATCTATAAGCCCTGGAAGCCCAAACACAGGCTGAAATAGGACCGACATGGGCTACTGCAGTTTTCAAAGTATTTTCTTTGTCTCCAATTTTCTTTATAAAGGCGAATGCTTTTATTTTCACTACTTGTTTATTATCAGTGTATTGACACTTTCCTTCCTGTGAATATTAAATTTTTCATTCTATATTAATGAAAATAAAATTTTATTATGAAACAAGATATAAGGTTAGTATAAATAGAGAACATACTCAGTTACCTAGATCCTTAACTATGACAATTTTATTCATTATCATTTGTAATAAATCAGAGCTAGGATGTTTTCAAAATATTATATTTGTTTTATGCATTTTTCCTATTATTTTATTTTACCTATTATGGTTTTTTACCTAATACCTCAATAAATAGATGTACTAAATTGCAATAATAACGTTTTTGGTACACTATTTTGATTGTATTAACGAACAAATATTAATGTAATAATTTAATTGTCCAAAAAAATTAAACAATTATTTAAACTTAATTTCCTTTATTCTATACGGAGGCCTCTATTGTAAAAATGATATAATTATAATAATAAAACTTAGTTTAAAAATACCTTGCTGAATATCTTGAATTTTTATTTAACTTTTGCAATTTAACACTTTGTTTTATAAATTCACTAATTCTTAGAGGTATTTCAAATTGTATTTCTTCCCCGAAAATGAGTATATTAATACCTGTTTTATAAATTAAAATAATATATACCTGATCTGCACTAAATATAATGAATAGTTGATAGGCTGTTTAGTAAAACTCATATGTCACTAGTAACAAAATTAATTTTTATTTCCTTTATTAGGGATCTCCTAAGCCTCCCTTTTCCCTCCACATGTGGAGGGGACAGGATTGGTTCAGAGATCACCTGGCTAATTGTAAATAATGTATATAGGTATGTTTTATCGAAGATGTTTATTTTACTTTTATTTCTATTTTTACTTACTTATGTGTATATATATATATTTTTTTTTTTTCTTTTCTCTTTTGTTCCTTTTTCCTATTCTTTTGTTATTACTTTATATTTTTGTATATCGGTATGAATGTACTCTCTGAACTCTATTTTAAGTGTCCTTAACTGTGACCAATTGTAATATTTCTCAATAAAGTGTTAAAAAAAAAAATTTCCTTTATTCTGTTAAGAAGTTGGGCCATATCATAAAAAAATAGAAAACTTTAATATTGAATGCATTACTCTCTCTGTACAAACAAAGATGGAAAGGGGGAAGCTATAAGTTCTTCTAGGTAACCGGAACTGATTGTTAGTATTTGGTCTCATGATGAGGGAAAACGAGAAAGTGAACCCAAAAAGTGGGAAAATATATTATGCGAACGAGAAAGGAAGTACCAAGATCTTGAAAAAGAAAACAAGGATCAGTATCCATTATGTGGCTAAACGAATATATAGTAGACAGATCAATAGAATATTTCAAGATGCTGCTAAAAGGGGATCAAATGCTGAAGCAGTTTGGATGATATTAAGGGGACGATGTAGGTTTATTATGGTGAAGACCATTTAATCAGCAAGAAAGATTTGTTCGAAGCAATTGCCTAGTCAGCAGGTCTGGACTAATTGAACGAGGTTTATTATGATGAAACCATTTATTTTCGATTGCTACTGAAATTGGTACTTGCACATTGGGGCTATCTTCACTTTGAAGCAGGTTATAGAAGGGTATATCGAGAAAGGAAAATAGAGTTCTCCTTCTGTTTAGTGCATTCGCAAAAGATATTTTAAGGAATCTGAAAGGAAAACGAGCTTTTCTTAAAGACTAGTAGATATTAGCACAATCCAAAATGTGAGGCACTAAGCAGATAGAGAGCCATTTTTCTTTCTTGATCGTCTTTCCTATAACCGGCCTTAAAGTGAAGACAGTCCCAATTTACTACTTCTGTTCCAATGTGCATCTTGAGTCTCTCAATTCATATCTCTCTGGCAATCTACAATATTTCTTATTCAAGCTTCTACGATTTTTGAGTACAGTTTCTTTCGTACACTAAAGAGGAGTGAATCTCGATGGATAATACATTTCCTAGTATCTCCTCTCTTGTAAAGGGCCAAAACTACTGCCCTTTCATATCATTCTCTAACAGATTTGTTGCCTATATAGGCGCAGCAGTATGGTTTGCTTCATCCAGAACAGAGTGGGATAGTCAAGATTCATTTTTCAGGATCACCGAGAAATAAATATCAGTCTGTAATTGAGTATGACCATATATTTCTTTCTTTTATACTATGTTATAAAATATTTTGTCGAAATAAATAAAATTAAAAATTATTGTATTTTATTACTTGAGGTGTGATGATATTACTTATAATTATGAAGAAAAAAGTCCCCATTGTGAATAACATTTTATTATTTATTAACAGGCTAACCGACCCTGGTGAGAATCAAACCCACAACGATCAGAACCGAGCACTTGGAGGACATGCCCCAACTTATTCGGCCATCACGTCCTCGAGTCATTGGTCTAGAATTATGTGTTCTTGACAATAGATTTTCGTCCGTTTCTTTCAAGGGCTAATATATTTCTTTTAAATTATATTTGTTTCGGTCACTAGCGGATCCAGGATTAAATTTTGGGGAGAGACTTCAGCCCGAAAGCTTTTTTTTTTTCATAAAAATAATGATAATTACTTTGGAAAAAAAGAAATAAACTAATTGCCTACATGAAATGGTGTTTAAGTGATCTCTAAAGTCCTTTTAAATGTGATTAAATGAACAATAATACTTTAAGAGATAATTTTTTAATATTTGTTTCCATAAAACATGGTTACATTTTACCATTTTGGGGGAGAGGCTTCAGCCCGAAAGCCGTAGACTCGCCCGTGGTTTCGGTCAAAAAATGCATTTTTATTGGAATTAATGAATATACATGTATTAATTCATTAGTGAGAATTTAGATGTGGTCTATATGACCAGATCACCATATCTTCGGTGTTTCGAAAGTAGTGTATCCAATTACAATTACAAAAGTAATATTTAATAGATTTAAAAGAGACAAAATATGTTAACAAAAACATCAAAATTCATGAAAAGCTAATAACTAGGTTAAAAATATATAAATGGTTCAAAATACATTAATAGAGATTTATAATTTTAAATTATTAATTATAATTAAATAAATATGTTAATTACACATTTTCTTTTCTTTGATATTTCATTTTTTAATTTAAGACTTACTAGCAAGGCTTTCTTGCATTACTTTCTTGTCGTTTTGCATTTGGCGTCGGGAAGTGGCGACCCCATCGTCTAGTCGTTAGACTGCAGTCAGCCACTGGCACTCCAGGTTGGGGGAACCTACACCTACACTGACACACACAAAGTACTCTAAACTACAGCACACTTCACACACCCCACACTACAGACAAACGTCAATTACAGTACACACCCTAGGGGGTGTCCCATAGGTAGCCGCCGCCCGGATGGGGAAGCTTGTCATTGCTCAATGAGGAGGCAGTCCCTCCACCTGACTCGGGGGCAGCGAGCTGATACCTCGCACCCCTTAAATCAACCAGTTCATGAACCCTCAAAGAGAAATATCCGGACAGATCAATGGAAAACAACATAGGATTCGCCAAAAGTACTTAACAATAAGACAATGGAATATTTTATCCCTGCATAGATAGGAGATGAAGGGGTTGCTTCGGTAGCTTCTACAACAAGTTGACAACTACAACCTCGACTTAGTCGCTCTGCAGGAGGTGAGGCGGAAAGGAAGTGGAGTTCTGGAAAAACGGTTCCACACCATATACCATAGCGGCCACGAGCATCTACATGTCTCTGGAACGGTTTTTGTAGTAAGGGAAAGAGCCAGGGATCTGGTCATAAATTTTATCCCTGTAAGTCCCAGGATTTGTCTTTTGCGTTTGAAAGGCAGGTTTCATAATTATACATTCCCCAGCTGCAACGCACCCACGGAAGTGTCATCTGATGATGAGAAGGAGGCATTCATCCTAGGAGACTTTAATGCAACGGTTGGTAAGGAACTAGTCTTCAAACCAACTATTGGAATGCACAGTTTCCATAACGACACAAATGAGAATGGCCGAATGCTGATAAACTTTTCTGCATCCAAGGACCTAGTTGTCGGCAGCATCTCCCCTGTCAAAAGCATCCATAAAGGAACATGGCGCTCTCCTGACGGAAGTACTGTGAACCAAATAGATCACATCCTGGTCAGTAGGAGGCACAGATCCAATCTTATAAGTTCCAGATCCTACCGAGGAGCCAACATGCACATCTACCACTATCTGGTGATATCTAGGATCAGAGCCAGGATATCCAATGCAAGAAAAACCAGGGAAAAGAAGGTAGAAAGAATAGCGTCATCCATACTTAATGATCCAGAAGTCAGTGAACGCTACCGCCGAACGTTGGATGAAAGGGTGACAGGTGCAGGCTTGTCAGAGGGCTCTGCAGAAGAACAGTGGAACACCCTATCCCGAATCGTTAAAGAAACAGCAAAGGAAGTTGTAGGGATAGAGGAACGAGCAGTTAGGTCCCCGTAGTTTGATGTGGAGTGTGCAGATGCTACGAATGTAAAAAACAAACCCTATAAAAACATGCTTCAGAAGCGACACACGAGAAGGGCCACCCAGGAGTATAGAGAGAGAAGGACGGAGAAGAAGAGACTACATAGACGAAAGAAGGGAGAATGGAAAAGGAGACCGCTAGAGGAGATGGAGGAGCAAAGGAGACAGAATGAATCAAGGCCTAGGTATCAATTCTACAAAGCGGTGAATGAGAGTAGGACATCATTCAAACCCATGGTCCGATTATGTCGAAACGAAGATGGCTCCATGATGCACAGAGAAGGAGCAGATTTTGGCCTCATGATCAAACGAGACTGCAGATGATCTGCACGATTTCGTAATCCCAAGTGCTGAGCATTACCTGGACTCCCCAGACCCGCCGACATGTGAGGATGTTCTTGAAGCAGTCAACAGGCTGAACAGTAACAAAGCCCCAGGAGAGGATGGAATTCCTTCTGAGCTTCTCAAGCATGGTGGCGAAGAATTCCAGAGAACCCTCTACGACATCATCCTCGCCATCTGGATTGACTAGAAAATGTCAGATCAGTGGAAGAAGGGAATAATTTATTCACTACACAAGAAGGGTAAATTCCTCGACTGCTACAATTACCGTGGGATCTCACTTCTTCAGTGTGCATATAAGATCCTCTCAAACATTATCTACTGCATACTCCTCCAGTTTGCTGAGAGAGAGAGAGAGAGATTGGCAAGTATCAGGCGGGGTTCAGAGGAGGAAGATCTACAGTTGACCAGATGTTTAGCCTCCGTGTGATACTGGAAAAGTCTCAAGAGTACAGGATGATGACCGATCACCTGTTTATTGACTTCCGGAGTGCATACGATAGCATCAAGAGACCTCAACACATGCAGCTCTGTGTGACTTTGCAGTTCCCCCGAAACTTGTCCGCCTCATCAAGATGACTATGGATGATGCTAGGTGCACTGTTCCGGTACAATCGGACCTGTAACCTGAATTTGTTTCCACGCGAGGAATTAGATGGGGGGATGGGCTTGCCTGCATATTGTTTAACCTGGCCCTGGAGAAGGTGATACGTGACTTGGGAATCCAGACTACCAACACCATCTTTAACAGATTAACGCAAATATTGGGATTCGCTGATGATCTCGATCTGATGGCACGTTCCTTCGAGTCTCTTAAAAGTGCATTTTTAACGTTAGCCGAAGCGGCAGAAGCTTTGGGAATGAGTGTAAATCAGGAAAAGACGATGTATGCGAACAGGACCTGAAACTGAGACCGCAGTACGAGTACCGGTTGTTATGGGCCCATTTACGTTCCACAATGTAGACCAGTTTACCTGGGAGCTATTGTAAGCTGTGGAAATAGAATATTCCTAGGGGCCAACCAGCGATTAATAAGGGCAAACAGGTGCTATTTTGGCCTCAGCAAACACCTTAGAAGCTCTTCCATCTCCCGTCATACAAAATGCCTCATATATATACCAAGACCCTCATTAGGCCTGTTCACACATATGGATCGGAAAGCTGGCCCATCTCTTCCAAAGAAGAAAAAGATTTACTAATCTTTGGACCTGTTAAGTTCGGTGATGATTGGAGAAGGAGGACCAACAGAGACCTATATGATCTGTATGGGGAGACAGATGTGTTGAGCTGCATCAAGCTTGGGCGACTACGTTGGGCTGGCCATGTGGCCAGAATGTCAGAAGAGGAAGTCCCTAGGAAGTTGCTTGATGGGAAGCTCTGCAGGACAAGAGGGAAGGGCAGACCAAGTTTAAGATGGGAGGACGCCGTCATCCGGGACGCCACAGAAATATTGCATACCTGCAAATGACTGGCGAGCGACTGCGCAAGATAGAGCCATCTGGCGAGGGCTCATTGAGGCGGCCAAGAACCCCACCGGTCTGTAGCGTCATGGAGTTAGTTAGTTCATTTTGCATTTGCGCAAAGGCCGAATCCTTTATCGAGCAATGGGCTCTTTGTGCGCCATTGGAGGGTCTGCTTTAACATAATTAATAATTATTTGCTACTACCTGACTAAATTATGGATCTGAGGGAGTAGAATCACATATTTACATCATGTTCAGTAAACTGATACAATTCACTCTGATTTGCAGCAAAATACAGCCAAGAGCAGTACCTAGTCGCACTTCATTATGTGAGATTTACTTTCGATTAACTTACTTCTCCAAGGTATGGATATGATTCATCAGTCTGAACTCCGTGCTGAAGAATATACCTGAAGGCCTTAAAAGGCATCCCTCCTTTACAGCCTCTGTTCCCGAATTTCGAGCTACAGTCCAGCAGATGCTGTGCGCTGAGAGGAATTAGCTTTCCTGTTTTCTTAAAGATCTGTCCTTCTATTGCTCCAGTCTAAAATATCAACAAAAACCAGTAACATAATATTTTCAATGAATTTATTTCTAACATTCTAGACAGAGCCATTGTGTGAGTTTTAGGCACCCGGTACGAAATTTTACCAGGCTCCCACATTGACTCCGGCAGTAGCCTATTTTATATGTCTGCTAGTTACACTTATTAAATCAAGGTGTACTTTTCAATTTCATCAATGAAGTTTAAAATTCGAATAATGATGAAAATTTTATAATAGCAATTCAAACTTAACTTGCTATATAACAATCTGTCGTTTATCGGTGTCAGAGGCGTAGGGTTTCATTGTAAGAGGCAACTTTACTTAAGTCCATAGACACAGATTTCGGGAGAGAGGCGAGGAAGCGATCACCCTCCCCCAATAAAAATGTACAATAAACAATTAGAAAATTTTAATAATAAATGCTTTATTCTCTCTCCACAAAGAAAGTTGGAAAGAACGAAGCTAAATTCTTTAATTAAGTAACCGAAAATCATTGGTAGTATTAGGTCTCAAAATGGAAGAACACGCGTAAGTAATCGAAACAAATTGAAAAAATACATCAGAGGAACGAGGAAGGAATCGTCAAAATCTCTTAAAAGAAAATAAGGATGATTATCAATTATTTGACTGAACTAATATATAGTAGACAGTATTTCAAGGAACTACTTGAAGGGGTCAAATGGTGTGGCAGTTCGGATGAGATTTATTCTGTGAATAAGATTTTATCAGCAAGAAAGAATTGTACGAAGCAACTAATAAGTCAGCAGAGCTGGACGAAATAACATAAAATGCTGCGCGTACATAAGAAGCAAAGGTGAAGATATATTTCTCCGTTTTTTTTCAATCAAATATGACATTAGAAAATGATACAACAGGACTGTAGTTGTGTCCCTTTACAAGCGAGATGATAGGAAATTTAATACCCATCAAGATGTATCCCCGTTTAGTGTGCCAAAGTTGCTTTACTCAATTGGTAAATCTTTGATTTTATTTCTATAGCAAATACTACCAAGACATGTCTTGGTCTCACACTAATAAAAAACTAACACTAAACTCAAGTCAAACTCATCAGTACACCATGATTGGACGCCATTTTGGGGCAGTGCAAGGATAAAAATCCTACAACTAAACAAACATATCTCCGGCACAATAGAACAATAATATTTTTGGGAGGAGGTTGTCCTACTCCCAAGGAGTAGGTACATGATGAGTATTTTTCACGAATTTCTTTCTGTAACATGATATTTGATCAAATTTAAGATATGAATGCAGTTTTTTTTTTGGTTTTGTTTTTTGTGAAAATAAACAGACATACGTATATATAGGTATTAAAAAACACAAATTACAGTGACAAAAATGCTTCAGCATGTGCAACACGTACCGCACTAAAAGCCCAGCACGCTCCGCAACTTTTTTGTTCTTTGACTGGTGTGACAGCTCCTTTCATGGTCCAATTCATTGATTCTGGGACAACGGACGTTATTTGTTCATTGAAGGAATGATGCACGTTCTTGAGTTTATTCATGACAGTTCCTGTGGTACTCAGATATTTTTTTCCAAACTCTTCATCATCCTGTCAAACAATCATTGTTTAAGACATTAGGAACAGATTTCAGAGCATATTTGTTTTTTGTCAATTTCTAAAAAAATATTTTAAAAAACTGCTTATTAGATTCAATATAGCATCTTTGTCACTTCTACTGTCTATAATCATGGTGTACAATTTGGCATTTTAAACTAAAATCTACATAAATATCACAGAATAGAACCCGTTCATGAAGAATAGTTTTTTAAAAAAACCGCACAGATGTAGACAGAATTTAATAAAATCAACAATGAACCATCCAGGTATCAATTCTCACGATCTCCTGATTCCAGGATTACTCCACGGCTGATGTAAAACAATAAATAATTACCTGCCACAACCGGACTTGAATCCATGACCTCGAACATAGGATGCCAGTTACCCATTGAGCTATCTTGCTCCCTTTCTATATTATATATCTATATATATATATATATATATATATATATATATATATATATATATATATATATATATATATATATATTATATATATATATATATATATATATATATATAATGAATGAACAAAACGACAAACAATCTCCTAAATTGAAAGCAATTTTTCGGAAATAAGAGTATAACTTATTATTATAAAGCTAATGTTTTTAGAATAATTGATATCTGACATAAATGTGTAGTAACTGTTGGAAGGTGATGAGAAAATAATGAATACTAAATTGTTGAAACTAATATTATTTAATGGGAACTAATTTTTTCTATGAAACCTTTTTTTTTTTGCACTTTCATTTATTTATCCGCACCTGTCAATTACAACTATTGACAATCAGCAGATGTGCTGGCGTAGCAAAGAGAGAAAAAAATAATAATATAATAAAAATAAATAAATAAAAAGGCTTGATAGGCATGAGGAATAGCAATAACCAGCGGTATCCCTTTCATTCTATGAAACCTAAATTATATAAACTAAATGCAAACTTACAAACTACTAAATGTAAGCTTAGCAACCAAAATATCTAATTACCGTTCTAGATTTTTGAAAAAGTACTTTTTTCTACTTTTAAAAGTAATGTTTACGGGTTCGAAAAACATGGTAAAAATAATAAACTTAAATAACTGTGTAGTAAAAATTAAAAGAACTTAATTTGAATCACTTCATACATGTTTTAAAACTCTTATTTTAATGTAAAATTTACCAAAATGGAGTTACGATTATTTCATTGCCTACCATCAATAGGTATTGCTTTAAAATTCGGTGAGACATTAACATATTTAATTCTTTTAATTTATATTTTTCATTTCTCTTAAAGGACTTAATATACAGTAAAACAAGGAAACTTTACAATATTTGTTTTAAACCTTGAAGTTAATTCCCCATAAAACCGAAAAATGTTTCTGGAAATTAGGGAAAAAGTAATTCTACATTTGAAATAATGTTATTCCTCCCCCTTCTTCCAGACTGTAAAGTTCCCCGTTTTACGATAGCCCTAAAAAATTGCATAAAATAAAATTTTAAAATCCCAATTACCAAATCCCCAAATTCATTCATTGCAACTTTGAATGACACTTGCCCATTTTCATATCGTTTGTTGTGATTTTCAACCCACATTTTGTTAGCCTCATATGCAGCCATCCTTTTAAGTTCTTCGGACAGACCCGTATACATCTTATTGAAATTCACCTGCGCACATCCAAACAAAAATAATGTTTGTATAACTAACTTCAACGACTAATTTGATTTTAGTCTTTATTTACTATACCTTAAAAGATTTCCAGTCTTTTGCTAAACATGTCGCTAGCAAGCTAATGACCAACAATGTTTTCATTACTTTTGTATTTCCTTTTTCTGAAATCAAAAAGATACTTGTTTTGTCTTAGGTATAACTTAATGATTACTAAATGAATAATATTTGATTTGTAGATGAGTGAGCAAGTTTCTTAACCTGTTATAAAGTTTCGAATTAACAATGACTATTGTAATACACAAAGTTTCATCAAATCCCAGCCTTTTCATTTACTGATAAAAAACATTTAAAATTTTATTTTAAGAAAATTTAGCCCGTAATTGTTAATTAAATAAGTAAGTATTAGACTATCCACAATATTTGATTTACTTCTATTCTGTAAATCTTGAGATTAAACTAGAAATATAGAATCATTCTACTCTTTCTCTATACCGGCATGCGCCTTGAAAAAGCTTGTAAATGCAAAAACTAAAATTATTCATAGGACGAAATATACATCGTATTTTATATTCTAGTATGCAGAAAGTGATAGGTGGTAACGGCATTTAACCTTCTGGCCCCCTAACTCTTTATTATTATCATTATTATTTTATATTCTGCGAACTAGATTTATCATTTTACATCTTACTTAATACAAAGATCTGATCTTTTAAATAACACTGGATATGCACGAAGCCATGATTAACCAAAAGAGGATCTAGTCCAATCAACAAGTGCTCTAAAAGGGAGTGTAGAGCGATATATATTCCTAAACTTAAAAAAACAACAACATATTTTTCGTGATTTTACTTCTATTGAGTACTATTCTCGACCCTTAGAGTCCAATAGAACTACTTTTCGAACCATATGTCGTACCACGATAGAAATGCAATGATGATATATGATGAAATACTGCAAATAATTACAATATGTGCAGTAACTTCTTCGCAGGCAGATCGAATTTTAGTTATTAAACCGAAACATCTTATCTTCCTTAACTTTTGTAACTTCGATATAATGCTTCGTTTCGGAGTCATGTCCGAAAAAATTCGGAAGTTTTGCAGTTTTTTGCATATATCTCGAAACGCAATGGAAAATTTAGTTCGTGAACATCAAATTCAGATTCAGAAAACCAAAAAAACATATAAAACCAAAGAGAAACCGACTATTTCATTTTTTTCCTCAGCCAACTACCATCCATGACTGACCATTTGATGACTGACGAATCAATTTTCAAAATGCAACCGACCTACATTGTCAGTCTAGGTGAATTCTCTTGCAAGGACATATTCTCCATATCATATCAAAATTTCAGCCATATGTTCTTCTGTTAAATGAAACGCCAAATTTCGCCTCTTTAATTTAAATTTTCTTATATGAAGCAACGACTTTTGAACGACTGGCCGAAGTTGTGTGTTCAGGCACTATCGGATTTAATTTTGTGAGGGGTCCAGCCAGAAAGATTTTTTTTTTCATATGTATAACGATAGTTAATTTTTAAGAAAAAGAAAGAAATTAATTACCTATATGAAATGGTGTTTAAGTGATTCTTGAAGTCTTATTAAATGTAATTTCACGAACAATAATACTTTAAGAGATAGTTTTTAATATTTCTTTCTATAAAATATAGTTATATTTTACCGTTTTGGAGGGGAGCTTCAGCCCGAAAGCCTCCCCCCCCCCATAGATCCATCTGTGTGTTCAGATGAAGCTTATCTCGAATTTAAAATGATTACTTTAAGTACTTCCGTTAAATAAAATGGTCGGTAGGTCCTAGAAAATAATAAAACAAGTAAAAGAATAAAGAATGTTAAACATTAATGGTAAATTGTTCACAATTTATTACTAAATTAGATAAAATTTTCGTTTGATAAAAATTAATTATCAATATAGATGGATACGGTAAGTATAAAAATAAAAAGGTTGTTGAAACACTAAGTTCCTATGTTTATTATTTTTGAAAATTGTCAGCAACCAGGCTCAGAATTGTTGCGAAACATTAAATTTTATAAATATTATTTGATTTAAAATGTGTCTAATCCGGTATATATTTTAGTTAATGTGATAAACTAATAATAAATATTCACTAATTACTACTATTATCATAAGCCACTCTGATTTCAATTAGCCATCTGAATCGAGGAGGTAATAAAACTCGATAAACCACTCAGTCTACAAATAGTTTTTTAAGAACAAACCACGTCGGTGTCATTGAATTGAACTAAATTTATAAATTTAATTTTCAATTTCTTTCAGACAGTGAATTCTACTGCCAAATAAATATTAAATAGCCACTTACCATTCCAGAAATTCCAAACCAGTCAAATGTGTTATCTAAAACCTACTACGGAGTTTATTCTGTGATTAACGTAAGGCAACATTAAAAATAAGAAGTGAAGATTAACTGATAAAATTGATGAATTTGTAAGCGCTTTAGTGAGATAGATTAGTGAGATGGATCACCTTCGATTCGACGCATGATTATTAATTTCCACTGAATATATTTAGACGCCGGAGAGAAGGAATGGCCGAAACGAAAAACATAGGGTAATAAGTTGGTAATAGATTTTAGTTTGTTAACTAGTGAAAACTAAAAATTAATTGAACAATATTAATTTGGAATGTGCTTATCAATTTCTGATAAAAATAAAATAATTTGGAGTAATAATATTACATTATTTGATAACATTATAGTTTTCTTTTTTTTTTAAATATTCATCATATTGATTTATTCTTTTTACATAGTTACTCGAAGCGGATCCTTATACTTTATTTTTTATATTTTTTGCTATTAGTTAAGGTAGCTCTCAACAAGGTTAAGTCCTAATTTTCAAGGCATATTGTCTGTCATAACGGCGATGGTCTGTTCAATATAGTGGTCATGAAAATGGCTACCCTAAAAACAAAAGCCTAATCAGGCGATTAGTATGGTCAGTTCGAACGAAAATATCGCTGGTGATATAATATTTTATAAGTATATTTGTACGTGTATGCGCGGGTGCATGCGTGTGTGTGAACTATCTCGAAAACGAGAAATTGTACATCACTAAAATTATGTTATTAGTAACATATACAGCAATTTCTTCGTCAAAATAGCCTAGAAGAGGAAGTTTACTAAATTAATTTATACTTTTTTACAATTTTCTCGAAAATGGTTCTAATAATTGTGATTAGATTCATCGTATCAATATAATTAAAAAGTATTTAATAGGTTTTCACTTTATTTAAAAATCCTTGCAGGGTTTAACTGCCAAGTTCCAAAATTCCTTCTTCAAAAGTACCTTTAATTTTGTTTATTTATAACAACTAACCATTTAATATTGTTACTAGTAATAAAATGATTAAATATTTATTTCATGTATGAATGATTTTACAAAAACTACTGTTTCTAAATATAAGTATGTATTTTATTTATTTGTAAATATAAACATGTAATTTATATTTATATACAAAATATAAATTTTACAAATGAGATTAGAGAGAAAACATGATAATTAATTGTTTTAAATTAATAATGTGATTCGGTCTAAGGCCATAGTGGACTGTTTTACTAACCTAGCCGGATAAAAGTAAAAACGCATTTATATGAAAAATTATGAAATGTTTACCAAATAACTAATTATTATAAAGAGAATCAGACATTAATTAGTAAAAATTTCTTTTATTTTTCTAATGAGTTTTATTTTAAAATAATTTTGATTAGTTCTTCTTATTTTGACTAACAAGTTTAAAATATAATTAGTTTGGTAGACAAATTTTAAGTTTTTTTAGTAGGTAACTTAAAACATCCAAAAGTATAAAATTTATTGAACTATAAACAATTAATGAAATAATTTAATTTAAAATATTTTTTAAGGGAAGTCAATTAAATATGATGTTTAATATTTCGCTTTGAGATAGTAAATTAGCTGTGAACAGTTTATGACTATTCCGAACCAGTTCTTAAGAACTCTACAGTTGTTAATTTGTTGCGTAGCAAAGTTCACTGAGAAATAACACCTGGAACTACTTTCTACAGTGCTGCTTTAGGACGTCCTCATTATGAAAAATATATCAGAGTTCAGCCTGAACTTGAGAACTGGCGAATCAACAGTTTAAATCTCTTTATTTGTTCTGCTAATAAATTTTCTTATTTGGCCAATAAGGTAGTGTGATTATATTCTGAAGCATTTTGACTTGTATAAATTAATTAAAAACATAAGTAAACTCATCTTAGACTATTTTTTGTGCATCATTATTGTATTTTTTATCCTTTGAATAATAAAACCCGCAGGGGCAAGTCTAAGTATCAGACTAGAGGGAATTAACGCTCCCTCGGGCTCCTGAGTTCAGTGCATGGCACTCTTACACGACATAACAATACACTATACACTACTTTGGACCACTAGCGGATCTAACCGGGGGCGCTCCTTTTCTCCTGGAAATTGGAAAAAAAATTCCAAAAAAAAGTAGTTGTGAAAAGAAAAGAAAAATATAGGGAAAATTTATCCTCATAGAAAAATTTGTTAATGTAACATAAAAAAATCTGGTGCGCGCAATACACAACTTTCGCTTTGAAGAGAAATTATTTCCTAGTCATGTTGGGCTATTAAAAAATGTTTGAATTGCATTTTTAACTGAGCTAAAACTAAAATATTGCAGCTAACAAATCATAAATACTATTAAAACAACAAAAGTCCTATTTAATATATCACCGGTTGATTATGGATTGTACGACTATTAGTTATTAAACTGTTATTTTCCATTACAAAGTTTGTTGAAACAGAATTAAGAGATTTGCATTGTCTGTAAATAAATAAATAAATTTTCCCTATATTTTTCTTGTACGACTATTAGTTATTAAACTGTTATTTTCCATTACAAAGTTTGTTGAAACAGAATTAAGAGATTTGCATTGTCTGTAAATAAATAAATAAATTTTCCCTATATTTTTCTTGTACGACTATTAGTTATTAAACTGTTATTTTCCATTACAAAGTTTGTTGAAACAGAATTAAGAGATTTGCATTGTCTGTCATAGATAGGTCAAAAGCTGTCACACTAATTGTAAGTGGATTCTGTTGGAATATCGCAAAGGGAAAATTTATCAAATTATTCATTAA